ATATGTGTGTAAATTTTTGAGTGAGAAATTAACTTGAGCTGTAAATTTTTGCCTAAAGCCCAGTAAAAATTTTTTAAAAATCCTTCTTTGGCCTGACCCTCACAGCACCCTCTTCTTGGGTGACAGAACCCGGTGGGGTGTGCCTCTGGGGGAGAGCACTTGCCTACCACAAACTCACTTTCTAGGCCTGGCCTCACAGCCAGTGCCTGCAGTGCTCACTCGGCCCAAGTCATCCAGGTCCTCTGGGCACAGATGCCCTGCACTTGGACCTCCGGGAATCCCTGTCTTAGGGTAAAGCTTGTCTCCCAGCAGTTGCTCTCTGTTTACCTGCCTTGTAGCCTGGCTCTAACTTTACCTCCTACTCACCCTCCAATTCATGCATAATTTCATTGACCTTTACTTGCATGGGGCCTAGTAATTAAAAAAAATAAATATGATTCATTAAACCTACATGTTGATCCATACCATGAGCCATTGACTTAAATCGGGGCATTCCAGAAACAGTAAGAAACACTCCTGCATCTCCTTTGAATAAGCAAGCTGTCACTGTCTGGCCAAGTGGAAATAAGGGGTTTTTTACATATGACTTTATCTGTCCATGAGGCTGAAATATTTTCTCTACCCCTACTATTGTTATTTCAGTGCATAAAGTCTCCAATTAAATGTTAAAAAATAACATCACCCACTCAGTTAGGATTCACACAACAGGCCCCTGCATGACATCAACTTCCCTTTCAGTCTTACTTATAAAGGTGAGGAGGGTAACTCCACTCTCCTTTAAATTCCTGTTGACTTAAATTCATGTTCTACGTTGAACAAGTGGCATAAACTTGGGAGCTTCATTTAAAAATCCAAAATGATTGAGAGCATTACTTAGTCAATTATTGACAGGGAACTGCCAGAAGTTCAAGCCAGATTCAGAAGAGGATGTGGAATGACAGGATATCATTGCTGATGTCAGATGATCTTGGCTAAAAGCAGAGAATACCAGAAAGATGTTTACTTGTGTTTTATTGACTATGCAAAGGCATTTGACTGTGTGAATCATAACAAATTATGGATAGCATTGCAAAGAATGGGAATTCCAGAACGCTTAATTTTGCTAACGAGGAAACTGTACGTAGACCAAGAGGCAGTTGTTCGAACAGAACAAAGGGATACTGTGTGGTTTAAAGTCAGGAAAGGTGTGCATCAGAGCTGTATCTTTTCACCATACTTATTCAATCTGTATGCTGAGCAAATAATCTGAGAAGCTGGACTATATGAAGAAGAATGTGACATCAGGATTGGAGGAAGACTCATTAACAACCTGCGTTATGCAGATGACACAACCTTGCTTGCTGAAAGTGAAGAGGACTTGAAGCACTTACTGATGAAGATCAAAGACCACAGCCTTCAGTATGGATTACACCTCAACATATAGAAAACAAAAATCCTCACAACTGGACCATAAGCAACATGATGATAAACAGAGAAAAGACTGAAGTTGTCAAGGATTTCATTTTACTTGGATCCACAATCAACGCCCTAGAAGCAGCAGTCAAGAAATCAAACGATGTATTGCACTGAGCAAATCTGCTGCAAAAGACCTCTTTAAAGTCTTAAAAAGCAAAGATGTCACTTTGAGGACTAAGGTGCTCTTGACCCAAGCCATGGTATTTTGAATTGTCTCATATGCATGTAAAAGCTGAACAATAAGGAAGACCGAAGAAGAATTGATGCCTTTGAGGTATGGTATTGGTGAAGAATATTGAATATACCATGGACTGCCGGAACAACAAACAAATCTGTCTAGGAAGAGGTATAGCCAGAATGCTCCTTAGAAGCAAAGATGGTGAGACCTCGTCTCACATACTTTGGACATGTTATCAGGAGGGATCAGTCCCTGGAGAAGGACATCAAGCTTGGTAAAATGAGGGTCATCAAAAGAGAAGCAGACCCTCAACAAGATGGATTGACACAGTAGCTGCAACAATGGCCTCAAACATAGCAACCATTATGAGGATGGTGCAGGACTGAGCAGTGTTTCGTTCTGTTGTACATAAGGTCGCTATGAATCGGAACCGTCTTGACAGCTTAGTCGACCGACCTCCAAATTTGTCAGAGTGAGAATGTTAACAGATAGAGATGAGTGATAAGGCAGAAGGTTTCTCTTGTCATTCTTTTAAGTCTGAAGCCAGATCTTCGAGCTTCCAGATTTCTGTTTCTGTCAACAAAAGAGTTTAAAAAGTGATGCCCAAGAATGTGATGTGGTAAATACCAACCTTACCAGGCTAACTAACCACAAATGAAGCTTTCCTGGGCTTATCTAGGTGCCAAGTGACAGGTATGTAGACTGTTGAACTAGCAAGTGAGTAGGGTGGGTCCCCGATATAAGTTCCCATAACACGCTATACTTCCACTATCATAACCTCATATGCATAACATCTTACCTTCTTTGTAGGATATAACCTCTGTGAGAAGAGGCCTTACCTTGACCACAGCTTTATTCACCAGGGCCTAGCACAATGACTGACATAGAGCAGTCACTCAGTAAATAATGAATGGTTGTGAAATGAATGGATGGATGGATGGATGGATGGATGGATGGATGGATGGATGGGTGGGTGGATGGGTGGTTGGATGGGTGGGTGGATGGAAGGAACTGATTATATTCATACCATCTTGTATTCATTTTGCAAAGAAAATACAGTAGAATAACATGTTGGCCCAACATGGGATTGTAGAGAAATTTCTGTCCCCAACTCTGTTGAAGAAAGCCTCATGTGATTTTTAAGACATCTTTAAAGGCTGGTGACCATATGACCATATTTTTCCGAGTAAATTCCTTTTCTATCTATCAACCAGTTGCCATAGAGTCGATTCCAATTCATGGCAACCCCATGTGTGTCAGGAATACAACTGTGCTCCACAGGTTTTCAGTGAGTGATTTTTTTGGAAGTAGATCACCAGGCCTTTCTCCCGAGACACCTCTGGATGGACTTGAACCCCCAACCGTTCAGTTAGCAGCCAAGCGTGTTAACCCTTTGCATTATCCAGGGACTCCAAATTCCTTTTTACTAGCCCTTTATTTACTAAACTTTCTGTCTCAGCCATCTAGTGCTGCCATCACAGAAACACCACAAGTGGATGGTTTTAATGAAGAGAAGTTTATTTCCTCACAGTCAAAGTAGGCTAAAAGTCCAAATTCAGGGCGTCAGCTCCAGGGGAAGGCTTTTTCTCTCTGTCGGCCTTCTTCTCTTCGGTGTTCCCCTGGACTAGGACCATCTCTGCGCAGGGACCCTGGTCCAAAGGACACGCTCTGTTCCCGCACTGCTTTCTTGATGGTATAAGGTCCCCCTGTCTCTCTGCTCACTTCTGTCTTTTATATCTCAAGACACTGCCTCAGGATACAATCCAATCTTGTAGACTGAGTCCTGCCTTACTAACACAACTGCCACCTATCCCCCCTCATTAACATCATAGAGGCAGGATTTACAACATATAGGAAAACCACACCGTACCAAGAATCATGGCCCGGCCAAATTGATGCACACATTTTTTGGGGGACATAATTCAAACCATGACACTTTCATTTATTTGACTTTTTTTTTCTAATTTCTTTCTAGGCTTTGTTCCCAGTTTTACATTGTTTATTGTTTTTGTTGCTGTAATGTCCTCGAATCGGGGGCAGTGGACTGTTTATAAATTTTACCTGGAGAAACTTCATCATTGTCACACCTGCCCTGAATTCCTAGGGCATTTCAAGTTCTTCACATTTGGTTCTCCTTGCATGGCCCATCAGCCTATGTGTATAAGCCCATATAACCCTCAGGTTGAACTGATCCCACGTCCCACAGCCTTCTTGCCATTGAAAAGTCCAAAGTAGAGTTTCTATTGTGACAACAACTCCTATTGAAAGATGAAGAGGGTGGTTTTTTAGTGGGTTTGTGTTCAGTCTCTGACTCTGTCTGCCCTGTTTTGAACTAGAGTATGATGTGGAAATGTTTGTCAGATGGTTATCAAGTACTGCACCCAGGTTTCCATGTCTTGGGTTGAAGAATGGAGTGACACAAGCCTTCAGAAGATAGCTCCTCGGGGCTTTTGAGAGGCTGGGTTGGAATGGAGACTCTTCCTCTGTGAGACAGAAGCCATTCTCCTCCACGCTCCCTGACGCCCACCCCTCCCAGGCCACCTGCCTTGACCTCTCTTGCCGTACTTCCCGAACAGAACTCCAGTCTGCTGCTTTCTATTCTCTTGCCGTGTTTACGCTGAAACCATCAAGTGTGAGAATGTGTGCTGACTTGGAAGGGACAGTACTGCTGCCAAGTCATGCCTGCACTCAGCTCAGCACGCTCTGGGGCTGACTGGCGGGAATCTGGGGGGGAGACACCACCACCTCTGACATCCGGAGAATGCACGTTCCCTGGTGCAAAGTGAGGGATCCCTGGGCTTCCTGTTTCTCAAATGCCCGTAATTAAAGGAAAAAGCACTGCACTGCATGGGTAGCGCTGAATCTGTTCTCCATTATGTAGAAATGTCTCCGCTCTAATAATTATATCCAAGAAGGCTGGTGAGATGACACTCAAATCTCTATCATTAATGACCAGTTTTCCTGGCCTCTGAGGGCGCTCTGGTACGTCCATCCACTCGGAGGATTACCGTTTCTGAATTGATCATTCTAAAAGCCCAGAAATCAGAAAGTAAGAAGGCTCCAGTTACGTGAGGTCTCTTTCTCACAGGTGCAAGGTCTACCCATGATGATATTGTAGCTTTGCTTCTGAGGGGAATAGACCTTTAAAAATAAATGTGTGGTTGTCCCAGATACAGAAATGGATTTTTTTTTTTTAAATCCAAGCAGGTGGTAATCACTAATTGTGGATAGAAACTTGGAGGAGTGTTTTAAAATAAAAAACGTTCTACCCCATGCAGACAGCCTGACTGTATAAGGAACCTTCATGTTGATGCTCAGAGACAGGTGTCTTACTAAAATTATGTCTCTGTTCTCTGTCCTGTCACAGTGGAGATGCCGTTGCCTTTGAAAGATCTACTAATTATAACGTCATCCAACAAGCAGGCACAGTGAGTGTTGAATAAAATAGACTTACTGTAATAGTCCTTGCAAAATTCAGTACTTCCTTAATTAGACACAACTGTTTTCCTCTATTTGCTTTTTTTTATTATGTGTAGCCCTTAGCTGTTCACCCACTTGACCGCTACCATTGGATGTCCATGAAATACCACACAGACTGTGCTGGGACGGATGTGGTGCCTGTCTTCAAGGGGCTTACTTTTTTGTTGCATATTAGCTGTTTAGCTGTGTTTCTTTCCCTATAATAATAGTAAAAGGATGCATGGGTTGATAACAAATTTGCCTAAAAGTATCTATTACAGTTGTAGCTCTTTGAAGTCGGATACCAGAACTATTAATAGCTAGGTCGATGACCCCACAAGTTAAATGTTGCTTTAGTGGCTCAGATGACATGATAGGATTCTGATAGTGTCTCATTGGCAAGTGTCATTGGACAATGTTTTAAAAAACTGTTTTGTGACCAGTACTCTTGAAGGCTGAATAGGGCATGAAAGAAAAATAAAAAACATACTCCCTGTCCTGATGGTGCAATGGTTAAAGTACTCGACTGCTAACTAAAAGGTCAGCAGTTCAAACCCACCAGTGGCTCTGTGGGAGAAAAGCCCTGGCGATCTGTCCCGTAAAAATTACAAAAAAAAACCCCAAACCCATCAAGTCGATTCCAACTCATAGTGAGCCTGTAGGACAGAGTAGAACTGCCCCGTAGGGCTTCCAAGGAGCAGCTGGTGGATTCAAATTGCCAACCTTTTGGTTAACAACCGAGCTCTTAACCACTGCACCACCAGGGCTCCCCTGTAAAGATTACAGCCTAGGAAACCCTATGGGGCAGTTCTACTCTGTCCTATAGGGCCGCTATGAGTTAGAATCAACCCGACAGCACACAACAACAACCCACCAGAATAGAATATGGCTTCTTAGTTGGAGCGCTAAGACAGACTTAACCCATTGGTGTAGAGTCGAATGGGGGGTGCAGGCTATAAATAGTTTGGAAACTCAGAAGAGGGTGAGAGGGAGGAAGACAGTGATAGTGCTAAGGGGAGGCTGTATGAGTTTTCTATTGCTGCTATAACAAATTACCACAAACTTAATGGCCTAAAACAATGAAGATGTATTCTCTAACAGTTCTGTAGGTCAAGAACACAGGTCTCACCGGGCTGAGATCAAGGTGTCAGGAGGGCTGTGTTCCTTTCTGGAGGTGCTAGGGGAGAATCTGTTCACTAGCTTCTTCTAGCTTCTAGAGGCTGCCCACATTCCTTGGCTTTGGACCCCCTTTCTCTGTCTTCAAAGCCAGCGTCATTGGGCTGAGTCCACCTCATGCTGCCATCTCTCTGGTTCTCTGTAGGTGGGAAAGTGTCTCTGATTTCAGGACTCCTGTGATTGGAGCCCTGGTGGTGCAGTGATTAAGAGAGAGCTCTGCTGCTAACCAAAAGGTCGGCAGTTGGAATCCAGCAGCCACTCCTGGAAACCCTATGGGGCAGTTCTACTTGACAGCAATGGGTTTGGTTTCGGTTTTGGATGACTGCATTATGGAGCCTTGGTGGCACAGTGGTTAAGAGCTCGGCTTCTAACCAAAAGATGGCCAGTTCAAATACACCAGCCACTCCTTGGAAACCCTATGGGGCAGCTCTACTCTGTCCTATAGGGTCGCTACAAGTCAGAATCGACTTGATGGCAACAGGTTTGGTTTTTTTGTTTGTTCTGGTGATTACACTGGGCCTACCGCATAATCCAGGATAGCCTCCCCATCTCAAGGTCTTTAACTTAATGACATCTGCAAAGTTCCTTTTGCAATGTAAGGGAACATATTCACAGGTTCCTGGGATTAGGATATGGACATCTTTGGGAGCCGTTATTCTGCTGACCACACTGCCCTTGACCTGGTCCTTGAGGGATCACTTGGCTCCTCTTTTAGGAGGGGATAGCCTGCATTCGAGCTGAGAGGGATAGTGACTGCATGCAGGCAGTGAGGGGCTGAGGGTGAGGATGCTGGAGAACAGCAGACCCTGGGTGAGATAGGTAGAGAGGTCAGGTCGTGAACAGCTGGCCAATGACAGCCTGAGGAATTTGGATTCAATCCAAGAGATGGTAGGACACCATCAAGGAATCTTGAGAAGGAGAATGAGAGGATACACTTGCTTTGGGGACAGTCTTTCTGACAGCAGTGTCCTCGATGTTGCGGGAAGGACAAAGATACCCAGGAGAACTGATGGAGTAACTCAGGTAAGGCAGATGGTACCTGGATGAGCATGGTGATGGCAGCAAGTTGTCCCCTCACCGTATCCCATGGAGCTGGCACATAGTGGATACTCAATAAACATCTGTCGAATAAATGAATGATAATAATTCTAATGACGTTTCTTGGGTCTGTTGAAAGTCCCAAACTGTGTTTAGTAGCATCTGGAAAAATCGAAAAGGAGTCCCTGGTGGTGCAAACAAGGAAGCGCTTGATCATTAACTGAAAGGTTGGTGGTTCAAACCCACCTCAAGGCACCTTGGAAGAAAGGCCTGACAGTACTTCTGATGGTCACAGCCTTGAAAACCCTGCAGAGTGCAGTTCTGCTCTGCACATATGGGGTCGCCGTGAGTCAGCATTGACTTGATGGCAACCGGCTTGGTGTGGTTGGGTTTTTTTTTGGAAATCTAAGTAGAATCCTCACTTTTTTCTTTGTCTTTCTACTAACTTATTTTCCCAGAAGCAGAATTCCTCAGACTTGTTCTGTTTACTGGATGTTTTCTCCTCCTGCATCACAGAGATGAAAACTTCAGCAGCTCTGGGCCACACTCTCACCTTGAATATCTTCTTGTTTATGCAGTCAAAAAAACAAAAAACAAAAACCAAACTCGTTGCCGTTGAGTCAATTCTGACTCACAGTGACCCTACAGGACAGAGTAGAACCGCCCCAATAGGGTTTCCAAGGAGCACCTGCTGGATTCGAACTGTCGACCTTTTGGTTAGCAGCTGTAGTTCTTAACCATTAAAGACAATTCATTTTTTTTTAATATTTTTTTTCTGAAAGATCGTTTCTTTCCATAGTTGGTAATGAAAGGATTCTGCCTGTAAGTAATTTCTGTGGAGGGAAAGCCCTGAGGGAACTGACTTCAGGAATTCATGAATTTGCTTTTTGTTATTTTTTTGTAAAAGCGCATTTTTGCATTCTCTTGTAATTGTTCCTTAAATAGCCCAATGCTAGACTGTCAGCTGGCTTCTTCTGACTAGTGAGACTGTGCTGTAGTTGATAAATGGAAGTAAAGAGAGTTCTGCAGAGTTAGACAAAGAGCACCCTGCCTGGAACTGCAGCTTTCAGCCTGAGAATGCGTGAGGCTCACCGGGGAAGCTGGTGAAATTCTAGATTTCTGGCCTCATCTGATCTATGGGGGGCCCGAAGACATGGACCCCCCAGCACCCCAGGGATCCTGACATGGATGGTCTCGGGGCCACACCCTGACAAACAGTAGCTTTCATGGCATCAGCATCAGGCAAGCATTGATAAACCCAGGAGTTCAGGGTATGCTGTGGAGACAATGGATCCACTTAGGGCTTTGCAGTGAGAGAAGCTAGCCCAGCGTTGGTACTGAGGAGTCTTCAGTTCTTCACTAATAAAAGCATTGATGGTCAGGTCAATGAGCTCCCTGAAAGAGCGAAACAGCCCCATCCTCCTTGGGGATCAGCCAGAATGGCAACAAGACCCACAGATTTGACTGAGTGCTATCCATCAGACAATTCCAAATGAAGCCAACATTCTAGAATGGTGGCTGTTCCTACCTAACAGTGAACACCCAACAAAAGTAACCCTTTGAGTGTCACCTTTCTATGCCGCTACTTTATATGCAGGTTTATATATTTATACCCCTACTTGATTCCAAAAATATTAGCAAGGAAGCCAGGGTTAACCTGGCATCTTCACAAAATGAAGAGCATACATATCAAGTGCTTTTTTTTTTTTTTTCAGCAAGAGGGTCAATTGCTTTCATCAGATTGTCAAAGGGGTTCAGGACCCCCTAAAAGTGAGGAAGTACAGATTTTAAAACACTGAGCAAGTTGAGCATAATCCCTGAATTCCCTTAATCCTCAAAGCTATGTCTGGGCTGACAACAAGGGGCCATCACTGGGAGGAGACCGCCCAGTGTGCCTGTTCCCCACGGTGTGCGGGGCGGTGTGGGATGGTGGCTGAGCACCGCTACTGCCCCTGAGGGGAGCTACAGGCGCTTCAAAACCCTCAGGTGGCTTATAGACAAAAATATACAATCAACTCACATAAACGAGTCTACTAAGCAAGATGTGAGTGAGGCTCCGGGTGTGTAAGAGCTGAAAAAGGGAAGGGCGAAATACTCACCTTGGAACTGAGCTGTCACAGTGAGCCATTCTGTGGGGAGAGAACGAAAAGGAAAAGCCTTGAGCAAGGCATAGTCCAGCAAGGGAAACTTGACGGCCAAATTTCCAATTTGCATAAATTATTCCATCCTACTTTATTGTAATGGAAATGGATTTCTTATAATGGATTAATCCTGAAGAAGTAATCCAAAATAAATCTATGTCCTTTATTCAGACCAGGAAGAATCATGTCTTCTTGCTCAGATGGGGCAGGAGCATGGATAACACCAGAGGAGTGACATGGAATTTGTTTTCTGCCCTGTTGCCTTGTCCCCTCCTTGATGTAAACATTTTACTATTCTGTAATTTGTTAATCTCAAGGAAAGTCTGTTGTTGTTGTGTGCATTCTAGTTGATTCCAACTCATAGTGACCCTATAGGACAGAGTAGAACTGCCCCATAGGGTTTCTGAGGTGCGGCTGGTGGATTCAAACTGCCAACCTTTTGATTAGCAGCCTGACCTCTTAACCACTTCGCCAACCAGGGCTCCAAAGAAAGTCTAGGCCCCTCGTTTTTCTTGTTAACTAGGACTCTGTGATTTCTGATACCACTAACCATCTTTATACACACATACAGTCGTATGACCCAGACAAGATATGGTTTTATTTTGGGGGGACAGTTATATAGGCAAGGGCTGTAGAAATGTATCCGTGGCATTAAATTATTTATAGATAAGATTTTTATTGTACCTTACTATACAGTTTCAGGCATTGGTGGTTAAGTGGTAGAATTCTCATCACCCATGAGGAGATTTGGGTTCAATTCCCAGCCAGTACACCTCATGAGCAGCCACTATCCATTTATCAGTGGTGGTTTGCATGTTGCTATGATGCTGAACAGGTTTCAGCAGAGCCTCCAGACTAAGATGGACTAGGAAGAAAGGCCTGGTGATCTACTTCTGAAAATTAGCCAGTGAAAACCCTATGGATCACAAACGTCTGATACGCAACAAATCATGGGATGGTGCAGGACGAGGCAGCATTTCCTTCCATTACGAGTGGGGTTGCCAGGAGTCCGGGGCCAACTCAACGGCAGCTAAGAAAAACTATACAGTATTTATAATAGATACTGAAAGAATGACACCTTTGGATAATATATTAAATCCTAGCCCCTCCGTAATGACCATAGTTTATAGAATTATACGGTAGAGGAAGGTTGAAATCATTTGGAATGAAATATGGAGGGAAAGTCGTTGGATCAATAACATGTCCAGAGCTATGGCTAAAAGGTTACACAGAACATGAACCTGTAGTAGCAACGTGATCATTACATGGTTTATATGCAATAAAATGCATTTTATTTTAAAGAACTAATCCATTGTGTAAATGATTTCTAGTTGGAAAACCATTTACCAATAAAGACAGACCCGGTTGGATCCCCTTTGTCTGAATTCAGGAGATGTCCATTTTGGGAGCAAGAACTGGCAAGGAAATACTCCTATAAAATGGTAGGTTTGCACACATGGGTGAGATTAGCTTTTCATGCCATGTGATCCTTAGGGCATTAAATGTTTTCTTACTTTGCGTTTGGTCACTGTTGTGCAAGATGGAGTAATATTTGCCTTCTCCCAGACCTGTGAAAACCAGCATTCCCTCCTGGGTTTGGTGGTGAGGAAGCTCAAGTCTTCTGCTCACGTCCTATAGGAAGGCTCCATTTGGGACCCCTTTCCAGAGCAAAAGCCCCTCCATCACAGAGAAGGGAACAGATGTGTGAGTTTTTCTAGAAACTGAGGCTGGAGAATATGGGGGAGAAAAGTGGGGTTGATAATTTAAGAAGAAAGGAGTCAAAGTCAGTGGCTTTGTAGTGGGTGGAACAGACTCTGGAACTCTCTGAGTTATGACATTGAAATTCAAGCTCAGTAAGTTATAGGCCAGTAAGGCACAGGTTACTCCATATAAACAAAAAACACTGTGGCCCAAGTGAAATGTCCAGCTATTGCCACATCAGGATTCCAACAAGAGCAGCCTCTGAGGGCTTCAGAAAGACCTATGAGGGTCGCTGAATTCTTGAAATGACCCACGAGCTGAATACTTTTCCATCTCCTTCCTAGATGGCCTTTCTTGCTGATGAATACTGCAACTATTGTCGAGATATTTTACAAATTGTGAGGAACCAAGAACTTGAGAGGGTGAGGTTTTATCTGTAAAATAGAAGCAACTATGACTTCTTATTAACCATTTTTCTTTAATAGACCGCTCAAGGGGTATTCTTGGGCAATCCATTGCACTGAAATGCTTCTAATGCAGCTATTTTGTAATGTTCTTGAAGGTGATATTGCTATTCAGTCTAATAATTTGGAAATTCTCCAAAGTGTTCATATTGATAACTTTATGCTTTGAATAGAAATTCAGAAAATGTTTAGACCCTGATTCCAGCTGTTTTTGACTAACAGATTGTTAACATTACTTACCCTGAAATTTTTAATAATGCTAAAGAACTATTTCATTGATACATGGAGCCCTGGTGGTGTAGTGGTTAAGAGCTACGGCTGCTAAGCAAAAGGTTGGCAGTTCGAATCCACCAGCCGCACCTTGGAAACCCTGTGAGGCAGTTCTCTGTCCTCTAGGCTCACTGTGAGTTGGAATCGATACACGCTGGCTGAAAAAGAAGCAGGGCTTTGACTTGAGTATTGGGTTTTATTCTAGAATTGGCCATGGTAAACATGCATAAATCCTTTAACAATTCTAATTTTACCTGCTGTAAGTACAAAAAAAAAATCCAGGGAAACAAGCGCACGTTTAAGATTTCCTGACGCTTTAGTGTTGGAAGTGATTCAACTTTTGGTGATAATACCCATTCAGTGTAAAGCATTGTAGCAAAAGAGACCCTAAGATGTATTCTGAATGGCCCCTGCCCTCTTAATGGGATGTTATAAAAATCCAACCACACTGGATGGCTGACGTTTTCCTTCCTTTCTTCACTCATTCATCAAATATTTATTTAATTCTTATCCTATAACTGGCACCATTTCTGAAACTAGGAAGATATTCTCCACAAGGCCTTAGAAGCTTCTAGTTTGGAAGTAAAAGGAGCATAAGCCCAAAAATATGATACAATATGGCAAGTTCTAGAATAGCAGTATAATGAGAATATTCTGGGTGCCCAGAGGAAAAGTAACAGAGAAAGCTGAGGACTACTTCCAAAAGAGGCCACGTTGCTGCTGTCTCTTGCAGGAAAAGCAGAGGTTCAATATCCAGAAAATGGAGTAGGAAAGGATTCCAGGTAGAAGCAAGCATTCAGGCAAAAGCAGCCAGGTGTTCACAGGCATGGCATGGTGAAAAGTCGCTATGGCTAGACTCATCATCTCCAAAGGAGAGAAGCCAGAGCTGGGTGGGAGAACAGGCTGATGCTAAGAAGGGCCTCTCATGCCCTGCGAGGACTTCTGCTTTATTTATAAGCCATATGGGGTCAGTGACGTAAGATGGCCCACACTGGAGCAGAGAGGGTAGTGAGGAGGTTCTAGCATAATCAAGGTAAGAAATGATGAGGGTTGGATCTGGAGGAGTGACAGTAACAAGTGAGAGAAAGGGGGACAGATTAGAGAACTATTTCTGGAAAGGGCACAGCAGGATTTGATGACCTTTGGTTATGAGTGGTGAGGGAATTAGCAGAGATGAGCCTGTGATTGCTCTCATTCAGACCCACCAACCTCAATGGGCCCGTGCGCTAAAGTTAACAACTGAGAGTAAGAGGATTCCCCTTACTCTGGCCATCATACTCCTCTATTCTCTGTTACATGTCTATCAGTCTCCCTGGAGAAGTCTTCTCTAGAATTAATGTCCCTGATAACAGGATTTCAAATCAGAGACACAGACTCATGTAACTCAAGAGTTGACCCTAACTCCCGTTCGTATACTTGAGGACTTGCACATGAGAATAGCTCCTTACCTGGAGTCGTTGGCAGGTCCTAGTGTGTGGAGCCCTGATGGTGCAGTGGTTAAGAATTCAGCTCCTAACCAAAAGGTTGGCAGTTTGAATCCACCAGCCACTCCTTGGAAACCCTAAGGGGCAGTTCTACCCTGTCCTGTAGGGTCACTATGAGTCAAAATTGACTTGATGGCAATGGATTTAGTTTTTTTTAGTGTCAGGGAGGAATCCCTGGGTGGTACAAACAGTTAATGCACTTGACTGCTAAACGAAAGGTTGGCAGTTCAAACCCCCCCAGAGATGCCTCGGTAGGAAGGCTTACTGGTCTACTTCTGAAAAATCAGGCACTGAAAACCCTACGGAGCACAGCTCTCCTCTGACACACCTGGTGTCTCCATGAGTCAGAATCAACTCCACGCAGCTGGTTTTGGTGTCAGGGAAGAGACACCTGGGCTGTGATGCCTCAGAATATCTGAGCCTGCGGAAGTCCCCAAAAGGCGAATATTTTTGTTACCTGGCAACTCAGATTGGCCTTCTGATTTAATAATGGAATCTGAAAGGTCAACACAGGGAAAGGGTGGGGGGAAGAAAAGAAAGAAAGCCGCCATTTTGTTTCTCAACAGGAGTTGTCCACAGAAGTCTTTAAAGAAGGCTCCTATGTAGAATCTCACCTGTCCATTTGCCTATACAACCCTAGATGGATTCTAACTTGATGGCAAGGAGAAGGCTTCTTAGATTAATACTGTTACACATCTTTCTGAGCTGAAAGATTATTGATGGAATCAGCCGGTCAGTCAACGAACATTTATTCTAAACTATGTCTGCCCCCTATGGGCCAATCCGCATCCTATTATAATCAACAGGAGGAGCTCCCTTGTGGCCACAAACACCTTTCTTTCCAGAACTTTCTCATGAAAATATGTCCCACATTATCCCATCCAACTGACAGGCACTCCCTGATAGGTTGCTAGAAAGAATACTTATAAAAGATAGCCCAGAAAAGCTGATACAGGCAAAGCTTTACGTTAGTTGGAACAAAATTTAATCCTGTTATCCTTTGGGGCTGATTAAGTACATATGGGGGATTAGTCTCATTAGGCACCAAATGAGCTTTTGGTTATATGTTCTATTATTTACATCAGGTGGGGGATTTGCTGACTTCCTTCTGGAAATCTCTGCAGCAAGACACAGTGGTGTTTATGTCATTGCCTGATGTGTGCCAGCTCTTAAAATGCTACGATGTACAGCTGTACAAGGTAGGGGGACGTTTGTTGGAATTGCTGGTTTCTGTCGTTTTTTTGAAATGGATACCAAATGCTGGGGTCACAACCACAGCCCTCCCCCACCCAGCGATCTCCATGGACTTCAAGCCCTCTGTGGAGTAGATGGTGGGGATCATGGACCGTGATCTTTTTGATCTCTGCCTAAAATCCAGCGTTTCTTTTTGAATCCAGTGAATGTCTGAGTTACTTCAGGTACAGAAAAAGCCTGTGGTTCCAGAACCAGTCAATCCTGAACTAAGTCAAATTTCTTTCCCGGGTAACGTCAACGAAAGATTTTAAAATGAGTTATTGGAATAATTGCTTTGGAATTATTGATTGCCAGGATTTTTTTTAAGGGCCTATCTCTAGATAGACGATCTTCAATCATCTCATGCAAAAAGCTAGACAGTGAATTAGGAAGATTGAAGAAGAATTGATGTCTTTGAATTATGGTGTTGGTGAAGAATATTGAATACACCATGGACTGCCAGAAGAATGAACAAATGTATCTTGGAAGAAGTACAGCCAGGAAACGAGGATAGCAAGACTTTGTCTCATGTACTTTGGACAAGTTATCGGGGGGACCAGTCCCTGGAGAAGGACATCATGCTTGGGAAAGTAGAGGGTCAGCAAAAGAGAGGAAGACCCTCCACCAGATGGACTGACACAGTGGCTGCTATGATGGGCTCAAGCATAACAATGATTGTGAGGATGGCGCACGACCACGCAGCGTTTTGTTCTGTTGTACGTGGGTTGCTATGAGCGAGAACCAACTCGACGGCACCTAACAACAACAACAGTATCTAAAGCGATTATTTTATTTGGATCGTCAAGAATATATCGTTTCTATGGTGAAAAATTATCCTCTTTCTACTAGTCTTGAACCTCACATTTTATTTTATTTTTTTTAGGAAATAATGTAGTGCTTTTAAGATTCTTAACACAAAGCTTAGAAAGAGGAGGCTCGGTTCAACCCTTAAGTTAGTTTGACTCACTTAGTATTGGCTGGTACCGGTGTAGTTTCTTTGTTTTTAATTTGAATCCATTATCAATATTTTTAAATCTTTGAAAAGAAAATTCAGTTTCTGGCCATGCCGGCCTGATTTCCTACACGGTAACATGGTTCGGGCTGGCTAGTGGCCGCTCCAGCAGACCAGTGAGTGGCCTCTCTCAAACTTTTCCTGGTCTGCTCAGTCGCTGCAGACGATTGAGTCTGCAGCACACGTGTCCTTTGGCACTTGTGATTAGGGGATGCCTACACTGAAGCCCTGGTGGCGCAGTGGTGAAGAGCCCGGCAGTTTGAATCCATCAGCTGCTCCTTGGAAACCCTGTGGGGCACTTCTACTCTGTCCTATACGGTCGCTATGAGCTGAAATCGACTCCACGGCAATGGGTTTTAGTTTTGGGTTTACACTGACCAGTAGATTCACGGTGTCTTGACATTTTTGTTGCAGGGAATCGAGGACATCCTCCTTCATGACTTTTTGGAAGATGTTCCTATTCAGTACCTGAAGTCTGTCAGGTTATTTAGTAAGAAATTTAAGCTGTGGCTACTTAATGCTTTGGAAGGCTTCCCAGCCCTCTTACAGATTTCCAAACTCAAAGGTAGGTTTCAATGAAAAAAATAAGTAAATTCTGTAGAAGTGTAAGAAGTATCTAGGTTTCAAACTGGAGCAGGACATTTCAGCTGCTAAATAACTTACTTTTCCCCTCATGTGCTAAACTGCAGTCCATAAGGCCTGACCCATTGACATTGTCTGACCTTTTCTTTAGTGCCAATGATGGATTCTCGTGCTGATCCATCCACACCCTATTACCTAGTCCATCTTGTTGCTAGGTGTCTTCGAGTCGGTTCCGACTCGCAGCAACTCTGTGTACACCAGAATGAAACATTGCCCAGTCCTGCGCCATCCTCACAATCCTTGCTATGCTTGATCCCATCACTGCAGAGAGTGTGTCAATGCATCTCGTTGAGGGTCTCCCTCTTTTTGCTAACCCTCTAGTTTACCAAGCACGATGTCCTTCTCCAGGGACTGGTCGCTCCTGATAGCTTGTCTAAAGTACATGAGACGAAGTCTCGCCATCCTCACGTCTAAGAAGCATGCTGGCTTTACTTCTTCCAAGACATATTTGTTCATTCTTCTGGCAGTCCACGGTATATTCACTATTCTTCACCAACACCGTAATTCAAAGGCGTCAATTCCTCTTCATTCTTCCTTATTCATTGTCCAGCTTTCGCATGCATATGAGGCGATTGAAAATATCATGGCTTGGGCCAGACGCACCTTAGTCCTCAAAGTGACACCTTTGCTTTTTAACACTTTAAAGAGATCTTTTGCAGTAGATTTGCCCATTGCAATAAGTCATCTGATTTCTTGACTGCTGCTTCCATGAGCATTGATTACGGATCCAAGGAAAATGAAATTCTTGACATCTTCAATATTTTCTCAATTTTGTTAATATTGAAAACTTCCCTCTTATGACTAATAAAATGGCTTTTGACAGGTCCAGGGAGTTAGAGAAGTCTGTGTAGTGCGGACAGTTAGGTACCCAACTACGAACCCACTCAGAGGCACCTCAGAAGAAAGGCCTGGCGATCCGCTTCCGAAAGGTCACAGCCTTGAAAACCCTGGGGAGCAGTTCTACCCTGCACGCACATGGGGTCACCATGAGTCGGAATTGACTCTACAGCAACTGGTTTGGTTTTGTGCTAAGCGGTTAGGGATGTGGAAAGGATGCTGCTGAGTATCCTACAGGAAAGAGAAAAAGTGACCCCGTAAGGCTGGCCGTGCCCAGTGCTCTCCCTCATAAACCAGCTCTGAGGATGGCCAGCAGGTAGCTCTCCAGCTCACGTTGCTACTCTCCTGCCTGGACTGCCTGCCCTCCCTCCTCCACCCTCATTGCCCTAGCTAACTCCTGCTTATGCATTAATGCCCAGATTAAATGTCACCCTCTAAACAAAGTCTTCCCCATACCTTCTTCCAAATAGGCTTCTCCCTTCCCTGAACCCAGCACGTTCCTCTTCCCCATGCCTTCACATTGTGGGAGAGTACGTACCCCACGTTGGGAAGTTGTTTGCGTATCTTGAGACCCATCCTCTAGAAGGGAAGCTCCCTGAGAGTATAGACTGCCCTCCTTTAGCCATCAGCTCAGCCAGCACTTACTGAACTAAGGCCTGGTGTCTTAGGCTGGGTTCTCTAGAGAAGCAAAACCAGTAAAGTGTATAAATATATATATAGAGAGAGAGATTATATCAAGGAAACAGCTCACGAGATTGTAGAGGCTAGAACGTCCCAAGTCTGTGGATCAGGGTAGAGACCTCTCCCAAGTCACACAGCTGCAGAAGCTGGCAAGCCCAAGATCGGAAGGTCGGAGAGCAGGGCTCCCACTCACTGGCTGTGCAGATCGACAAATCCCAGGTTCGGCAGATAAGCTGACAGCTCAAGTCCCAAGAACGGGAGATGAGACGACAGGAAGCAGCCGCAGGATCCAGAGAGAGCAAAAGCCAGAACGTCTGCTTATATACAAATGCAGGCCACACCCCCAAGGAGATTCCCTTTCATCTGATTGGCTACTCACAGTATATTCAATCATGGGAGTGATTACATTAAAACACGGAGAATCATGGCCCAGCCAAGTTGACACACAATCTTAACCATCACACCTGGTACAGAGTGACCGCTTGTAAATAGTTGTCGAATGGATGGGTACATTAAAGAGAAAATCTCCCTCCCTATGTTTTCTCTTTTTATCTTTCCTTTTCTACCCTTTTGGATTCCCTGGGTGATACAAACGGTTAATGCACTCGGCTGCTAACCAACAGATTGGGGGTTTGAGTCCACCCAGAGGTGTCTTGGGAGAAAGGCCTGGTGATCTACTTCCAATAAGCAGCCATTGAAAACCCCTTGGAGCACAGTTCTACTCTGACACACACGGGGTCGCCGTGAGTCAGAATTGACTCAGTGGCAACCGGTTTTTGTTTGTTTGTTTGTTTGTTTTTGTTTTTTTTTTGCTCCACCCTTTCCTTTGATCATTTTTTGAGGAGAGCACAGTAGAGATGAGGAAGTCAGCAGTGCTCGGGGTTACTGGGCAACAATCCTAAACTCCTTTGAGCACTTATGTCAGATGCTGGGATCACGTGTTTTTATGGACATGGGGATGTTTCAGTCAAACGGCCTCTGCCATAATCTTTGCCAGCCATTCGGGAAAGGGCTGGCGGACGGGTGAGAATGCTGCGACTGGGGGCGACTTCGACCAGGAGGCCTCGCTCTGTGGAAGGTGAGTGCAGCTGCCCTTGCGGTTCAGACACCCGCGCATTTCTTCTCTGATCCGCGTGCACCACCCCTTCCCCCGCTCATTCACAGGCATTTGAAATTACAGTATCAGTAATGGCCGTGTGTGTTGTTCTTAACAGAAGTTACTGTGTTTGTCAAAAGACTGAGAAGAAAGACGTACCTTTCCAACATGGCAAAGGTACGTGTCAGCAAAGCAGACATCAGGGAACAAAGCCATTTCCTGAAGTGAAAACCGAGAGCTGCGAGTACCTCCTAAGAGCAGGTGGTGGGTCCCTCAGAGAGGCACTCCCATCCACCTGGACGCCAGGCATGAGGACCTTGTTGGTGCTGGCTGGGAAGGCCTTGAGGGCTGGCTGGCTCTGAGCTAAAGGCTCACCCTCTCCTCCCCTCAACAGAGAAGCTTCCATCACCATGTCTCCCTCTGGGCGTAAGACAAAGGAGGGCAAGCAGGCCAGCGTTTAGAAGTTGCCAGAGGGAGGCCCCACAGAGGTGCCTGCACTGGGCTGGCAGGGGCCAGAGGCGAAAGGGCATCATAGCAGAACCTAGGTCAGACAGGACCATGGACCTCGTGTGTTCAGGTAGCAGGGCTCCTCAGCCCCAACCTTTCTACTCCTGAGGAGATTTTGTAGCTTCAGTGTTTAAAGGAAGGGAAAGAAGAATTGAAAAAAGATTCTAAAATACTGGCACCTGGGCCACCAGGAGTCTGCTCTGAAATCCTATGGACACCAGGACAGGACAGAGATAGTGGACTGTCACTCTGCTATAAATCAGTCTCAGCCGAGGGGGACTCAGCCGGGCGTGGTGTTTACCTGTCTCCACCCTCCCAGCACAAAACTCTCCCTAGACTTGAATTTCATCGGGATTGTCACACCGCCTTGTGCGCTCAGGCCCAGCCCCATTCTCCTGCACTTTCCCATTTGTGATTCGGTCAATCCTGGCACTCCCCCGGCAGCAAGATCCTCATCTCAACCCAACTAAAGTGCCACACTGCCTATCGGCTGGGAAAGATTGCTTAATACTCCAAGTGTCCTCAGCTTCCTCATCTGTAAAATGGGAGTGATAATAGTGCCTGGAGGCCCTGGGTGGTGCAAACAGTTAACGTGCTCGGCTGCTAACCAAGAGGTTGGAGGTTCCAGTCCACCCAGAGGCTGCTCTGAAGAAAGGCCTGGCAATCTACTTCTGAAAAATCAGTCACTGAAAACCCTATGGAGTACAGTTCTACTCTGACACACGTAGGATCGCTATGAGTCCGAATCAACTCCACAGCCATGGGTAAAAATAATGCCTACTCATAGGGCTGCTGTGAGGACGACTGAGTGCTCATCCTATGCACTCCAAAAACATAAGCGACTAGGTCACCCCATTTAACAGCTGAGGATGTCAGCTCACAGAGGCTAAGTTCATGGTCCAAGGCTCCCAATAGGAAAGGACAGAGACAGCTTCTGAGTCCCGCAGCCACCCCTTGGGATCGGTCCACTCAGTTGCTTCCCACCCTTCCTTGCAGATGATCCATCACCCACGGTTTTCCTCTCTAGAATGATTTAGGCTTGTTGGTGGGGTGCAGAGAATTAGGAACAGGGAGAGGAGGAGCCGCAGCATGTCGACAGCCCAAAACCCATGTGACCGGGGCCTTCTGATGATCATGTTCAGAGAGGCAGTTCTAGAACCGGTGAAGTTTGAACATTTAAATTGTCATATGTGATTCCCTTTCCATGGGTAATACCCAGATTCACTTTTCTTTCTCCTTAAAGAAAAACTCTTGGTAATTTGGGGGGGCGAGGCGGGGGGGGGGGATTAGGCAAAGGTAAAATTAAAAGCAGCGCTGTAATTAGTATCGTGCTTTTCCATTATCCGCAGACTATGAGAACGGTATTGGAAAATAACAGGATAGTCAACGTTTTGAAGTCAGATCTACATGCCATTATCAGTCAAGGCACTTTGGATATTTCGAAGAAAGCCCTGCCAGCTAACCTCAGAGACATGGATGAGCTGGAGACCAGCACAGAGATGAAATGTAATTTTTCTTTGGCAACTTTCTTTACTATAAAGTGTTTGGTATCTATTTGGGCCTAGCATGGCCATCGCTGATTTATGAATTTCTTAATAGAAAGTAGAATGTTATTTACTCTTCAGTATTATCATTTAAAGGTTCCTAGGAGCCCTGGTGGTGCAGTGGTTAAGAGCTCAGCTGCTAACCAAAAGGCTGGCAGTTCGAATCCACCAGCCGCTCCTTGGAAACCTTATGGGGCAGCTCTGCTCCGTCCTATAGAGTCGCTATGAGTCAGAATCGATTCGACAGCAGTGGGTTTAGGTTTGCTTGGGTTTGGGTGGTTTGCACTCAACTTCTAACCTAAACGTTGGAGGTCTGAACCCATCCAGCAGTACCATGAAAGAAAGACCTGGCAATCTACTTCCACAAAGATTACAGCAAGAAAACCCTATAGAGCAGTTCTACTCTGTAACACATGGGGTCACCATGAGTTGGAATTGACTCACTGGCAATGGGTTTAGTTAGTTTTTTTGATTTGGGTGGCACCAATAGTTCGTGCTTCACTGCTAACCTAAAGGTTGGCAGTTCCACCAGGCAGCTCCACGGAAGAAAGACCTGGTAATCTGCTTCTGTAAAGATTACAGCCAAGAAAATCCTACGGAGCTCAGTTCTACTCTGCAACACACGGGGTCGCCATGCATTGGAACAGACTCAAAGGCAACGAGTTTTCGGTTTTTTTGGTTTAATGTAATTTATCTGCTCACCCAACGTTTTCTGCAGGGGGCAATGAATGCCTCAGGAACACTTGGTGGCCCTGGACCCCTAGGGCCTACCAAATGCCCGACATGATGTCTTTGCTAATACATGTTTGTTTAGTAAATGAATAGACATGTGAGTGTGGTTGTTGCTTGACAATATTAATTTCTGGAAATCAACCTGGAGCGTCTCGTTTGAAATATATATATATATATATATCGTACCTGCACAGATTCAACAGCGTCTCTTCTATCGTGTCTGAGTTAGATTCAGTGAGCTCTCTGCCTTGCCAGCCTCTGCTGTGATTACTTTAACACCGCCTAGTGTTATTTTTAACAAGTGAAGTTTAACAATTGTGCTTTCACGTGCTTTCACTATACTTCACTACTTTATGAACAAGTGATATTAAGCATGTGAATATTCTTGCCCTTTGCTAGCTGATAATTGTAATTAATTTTTCATGAAGAAAAAAAAAAACCTCCCCTGCGCAGATCGCGCAGAGAGCCGGCTGAGAGACTGTTACCTCCCTGTCTGGAAGCAGTGAGAAAAGGCAGCAAGGAAATGTCACTCAGGGGAGAGCCAGGGTGCTGCTTTAAGAGGAACTGAAGGCCGGGGAAGGTCCTCTCCCCCTGGGATAAGGGCCAACCTCTAGGCAAGGGGCGGAAAGCCCCGTCCCTGTATGATAGTTAACGCAACGGTGCTAGACTCCCGGGTTCACTTTGCAGGCCCTCCCACCAAGATGCCCCAGGAGGATTTCCTAGCTTCCTCCCCTGTGGACATATCCCGTCCTGGCACACTCAGTTGTGTATAAAGCTGCCTCCCAGTAAGTAACCTGTGAGCTCCTTCAGGTTGTCAGCTGATAAGCCCAGCACAGTGGCCGGCACCTAGTAACACTTCAGTAAGTATCTCATCCCTGGATGGGTACATGGATTCAGGACTACATAGCAGCAACAGCAATAAATTATCCCTTTCTCTTTGTTTGACCTTGAAGTAGGGCTGTAACAGTTATTAAGATATGTCCATCATTATGGTTCATAAACAGCCTCTGCCCACGCCTACCTTCCTGTCTTCAGAAATCTCCCCTGCCCCTATTGCCCTGGCTGTCCCAGAGCCTCCCCCGGGACCCTCCCCCTAAAACCAGTACAGTATCTAAAACGTTAACACGTATGCCAGCGGGCTGATGGCTACAGACAGCAATTCTGAGTATTAAGCTCCCAGAAGATACCCCTCCCAAGTCATTGGCTTCCCGCCAAATCCTAGATGGCTGCCCCAGCCCTGCTCTTGCCCCTAGTCAAAGCCCCGGGTGCCCCAGGAGGATATGTGCCCCCACCCCGGGTGCCTGCCAGACCACCCGCCGGCCTGCCCAGACTCCTGTGCTCCTGTTGACATCCTCATGTCCTTGCCTGTCCTTCCAGCCCAAGAGGGTACCGAGCCCGGCAAGGACACAGCACACCAGTAGCCCCTGAACATGGCCCAGCATTGGCCAAGCCACAGCAACCTACGTGGTTTTCTAAGCCCTGCCTGGCATGCAGCGCCATTCTAAAAGCTGGGGAGCCAATGGCTGTTCTCTCACACTCGGTGGTGCCTGCCCAGCTGGAGGATCCAAGACCTGATGTCACACACGCTGGGGTCCCACCCTCAGGTCGGCACCAGCTGAGTGTGTAACCCGAGGCAAAGCACTTAACTCTCTCAGCTGCCTTGATTTCCACCATCAGTTAAAAGGCATTTACGCCTGTTATGAAAATGGCCAGGATAGATGAGGTCACGTCTGAACCGCGCAGTGAGCTCATTTGAAGACAGGTGCTGTATAATTACAAGGTGTAGTTTCATTTCAAATACTTGTTTGCATTTCAACAGGTGGCAGAGGTACTTAGTAACAGGCATAACCGCATGAGGAGGAAGTAGATGACCGCAGAAGCGACAAAGCCAGCGTTAGAATCCACCCTTTGTGTTCGAAATTGATGTGAGGCCCGAGGGAATGCCTTTGAACTCTTATTGTGTAGCTGTTGATCCCAGGTTACTGAGTGTACAAATACCTGCCGAAAATCTCTGCTACCTGGCAGGCCATCTTTTGTTTGTTTTCCTCTGCTTCTTTACAGGCTTAAGCAGTTTGATTTCTTTGCTGGGAACATCGACGGACCTCAGCGTATTCCTAAATTGTCTGTCTTCAAACCTCCAAGCATTTGTCTTCCAGGTACAAAACTGATATTTTTTTAAAGGAAAGAAGTAAATGTTGATAATTTTAGGAAAATTATCCCAGAGAGTGTCCATTGCCTACTGGCATGAAAGAGAGGTTTCTCCAGACCTCTTCACGGCTTGCGTGGCGGTGAGGGGCAGGGACATGACGTCTCCTTTTGAAGCAAGGCAGAGACTCAGAGAATAGGCACATCATGCAAGTGTCTGTGAGTGTGTCTGTGCGCAGGAGAGCACGTATGTGCATGGGTGAGCGTAGGTGTGCATGGGTGAGCGTGGGTGTGCATGGTGAATGGGGGTGTGCATGGGTGAGCGTGGGTGTGCATGGTGAATGGGGGTGTGCACGGGTGAGTGTGGGTGTGCATGGGTGAACATGGGTGAGTGTGGGTGTGCATGGGTGAGCGTGGGTGTGCATGGTGACCGGGGGTGTGCATGGGTGAGCACGGGTGTGCATGGGTGAGCATAGGTGTGCATGGGTGAGCATGGGTGTGCATGGGTGAGCGTGGGTGTGCATGGGTGAACGTGGGTGTGCATGGTGAATGGGGGTGTGCACGGGTGAGTGTGGGTGTGCATGGGTGAACATGGGTGAGTGTGGGTGTGCATGGGTGAACGTGGGTGTGCATGGTGAATGGGGGTGTGCGTGGGTGAGCATGGGTGTGCATGGGTAGATTGTGTGTGCAAGTGAGCATGTGTGGGTGTGGGTGATCTGTGTGCGGGTGAACATGTGCGTGGGTGAACTTGTGTGTGCACAGTTGAGTATGTGTGTGTGCGGGTGAGTGTATATACATGGACGTGCAGGTGGGTGTGTCTACATGGACGAACACATGTATGCACAGGTGAGCATATGTTCAGGTGAGTTTGAGGATGGGCATGGGTGTACATGGGGGAGTTTGTGTGCCCCTGGGTGAGTGTGTATCCGGGTGAACGTGTATGTGGGAACGAGTGTGTGTGCGAGTCAGCGTGTGTGTGTGCAGATGAGTGTACACGAGCGTGGGTGAGCGTGCTGTACAAGTAAACGTGTGTGTGCAAGAGAGCACGCGTGTGCACCACGTGGGTGTGTGGAGGCGGGGTTTCTCCTGGCTGCTGTTCTCAGACACATTCCGGGAAAGTGTCTGGCTCGATTTCAAAACATCGAAGATGAACCAGCTGTCGATCTGAGTGGCTTTGGCCCTTCTGAATGATGGGCCGCTTGAGAGTCCCTTCAGCAGGGTCTGTGGGCTTGGTTTTCTCGTCTTCATCCACCATCATGCCTTGAGAAGCTGAGACTGCTTCAGATAAAATCACTGCCTTCTCCTCACTAGTGAGCAGCAGCTGGGCAGGGACCAAGCGGCTCAGGCCTCCGACATTTCGGGGCGTCGTCTTGCCTGAAGAAGGAAGCAGTTGGGAAAAGGTGGGACTTGCGCTGGGACGGGAAGGGAGGGTAGCATTAAAATAAGCCGAGAAAGGAAGCAAGGTATTCAGGAGAGAGCACTCAGTGAGACGTGAGCAGGTGGAGGACGGAAGGCCTGTTTCGGGAAGAAGAAAAAACAAATCCGAAGCAGAGAGCAGAGATTCCGAGAGCCTGGGTACCAGGAGGGTGACTTCCACTTCGTCCTTTAAGACTCTGGCCACGTTTCTGTCACTCTGGTTTCCCACGGCAGCCTGGCCTCGTCCGGACCCCTGTCCTCTCGGTCTAGGTAAAGGGCAGAAATAATTGATGAGCCCACAAAGTCTGCAGGAGACATGGGAGTCGTCCACTCACAGAGATGAACCGAAAACTCAGGAAGGAGCTTGACAGTTGGTTCCAGCCTTCGGCAGGTGTCTCTTTCCGTTGTTTGCTTCTTGAAAGTAACCATTCCAGCTTCTGTACGGTTCTCGGTCCTCCTTTCGGGTGTTAAGCGTAGCTTAGTCGTAACAGCAGTAACCTGTCACTGGTATTCACGTGATAGCTGAAGGCTTACAAATCGTCACTGACAGAGGCTTTCCATAGATGATTACCTGTTTTGGATTCTCTTTAACCTGTCACTTTAACCAAGATAAACTCACTGAGCTCGTTAATACAAATCCTGGGAGACACAGCCCGACAGTCTCATCCTGTATTTAAATCATGTAAGGCTATGTGTTTCCCAAGCTTCCATCATCCTATCTTCAGCCTCTACAAATGAGGCATGTTAGAAAAATGGTGTTTTTATAACTGCATGCCTTTGAAGGGCTTGTTTCTGTAAAATAGCTGATGAAAAACAGACTATTGTCAATAAAACACTCAGGCTGTTCAAACGTAAGCCTCGGGCTTGTCAGAGATGACTAATGGCGTCCATTGAGAGCATCTGGTAGTGCTAGCAGAGGGAAACACTAACCTTTGTCATGAGTTTCGTTCTCTGTTCTCGTGCACTTCGGGCCCGAGAATAAGTTCTAAATGGAGGACCAGGAAGTGCCACACTGTGGGGTGAGGAGAAGAGGCCCAGTATTACTTAGGGTTCATGTCTAAACGTGTGTGCAGACAGAGTGCTACCTCTCCCAGTACTTTCAGAGAGTATCCATGTGGTTTTAGTACTCTCATTGTCCCTTCAACTTAAGATCCCCCGTTGGACACCGGGATTCCCCCTGAGAGCCATATCTCAGCTGGTAAGAAACAGGGGTCGAAAAGGCGGGGGAGGAGGGTGCTGCCGGTGAAACGCTGCCCCTGAAGGGGGCTCAGACCCACCCAAAGCTCCGGCAATCCTCTACATCGCGTGCTTCCGGTAGGAGCAGAAGGGAAGAGAAGCACAGGCCAGAAAGGGCATTTCTGCTTCTCTGGCCAGTCTCTACATCTCTTCTTTAAAGAAAAGTTTTTGAGGTCAGTAGGTGGCCCACACAGCAGCTCATTAGAAGAGGGTCCAGGGGTATCCATTTCAGCATAAGCATTTGAAGTTTACCCAATTCCACTGGTTTGTAGAAAATTTGGAGTCCCTGGGTGGTGTAAAAGGTGCCTGGGTGGCATACACGGTTTACACTCAACTGCTAACCCAAAGGTTGGCAGTTCTACCCAGCAGCTCCACAGAAGGAAGACCTGGCAATCTGCTTCTATAAAGATTACAGCCAAGAAAACCCTATGGAGCAGCGTTGCTCTGATACACATGGGGTTGCCATGAGTCAGAATTGACTCCACGCAATGGGTTTAGTTTGGGTTTGGCTGGTGCAAATGGTTAACACACTTGGCTGCTAGCCAAAAGGGTAGAGGTTCGAGTCCACCCAGAGGTGCCTCAAAAGAAAGGCCTGGGGATCACCTGAAAAATCAACCACTGAAAGCCCTATAGAGCACAGTTCTACACACTTGGGGTCACCATGAGTCAGAGTCAACTTGAAGGCAGCTAATTTTTTGGTAGTAAATTTAGAGTATGACCCAAGTAATCTAGGTGGAGAGAACGTCTTGTTTGGCACGTAGAGAAACCTTGTTAGCAGTGCAATTCAGATCTCCCTCTGCTGGAAGGAGGGGCAGGACTTGCGGTCCTGTGATCATTGACGCGTGCAGTGGCCAGTTTTGAAATAAACACTGTTATTTTCCACTCTGGTGGAATTCTGTGCCCTTTTTCATAATCAGACGGAGCACACAGAAGTGCACGTGTACAACAGCCGCTAACCCTCTCCACAGCGATTTCCAAGTAGACTGGGGTCCGCACCGCAGCGTTTCTCTGCTGTGCTTCACAAGCGACCTCTTTCTAAAAACCTTGTGGAGATTTTAAAAAGTAGGCCAATCAAGGAGACTGGAGAAACCCCGAGAGTATGGCCCCCAGACACCCTTTTAGCTCAGTGGTGAAGTTACCTCTGAGGTTCACTGTTCAGCCTGGGAGTGGACAGCCCCGTAAAACCAAATGAGACTAACGAGGTACAGGAGTCCAGTGACAAGGGCCAGAAGGCAGAAGGGGACAAGGAAGCTGGTGATAGGGAACACAAGGTTGAGTAAGGATATTGTTGATGTGTTGTGAGATTGTTAACCACTGTCATAGGGCAACATTTGTAGTAACTGTTAAATGAGAAACTATTTTGTTCTGTAAGCCTTCGTCTTAAGTGAGAATAACAGCACAATTGGAAGAGCATAGTCAATGTCACTGAACTGTGCATGTAGAAATTTTTGAAACGGTGTATCTTTGGCTATGTGTATTTTCACCAAAAAAAAAAAAAAAGGTTGAGAATTTAGAGGGTTAATATGTTGCGGGGTTGTTAACCAATGTCATAAAACAACATGTGTACTACTGTTTCATGAGAAACTATTTGTTCTGTAAGCCTTCACCTGAAGTACAATAAAATATTTAAAAAAAAAAAAAGTAGGCCAATCTCCCAGCTCCCTCCTGTCTCCACCACCTTCAGAGGGTGTGCCCTGGAATCATCTCCACAGAGGATAGAGCAAGACCAGAAATAGGGCCCTCGCGAGCACTGCCTCAGTCCGCGCCCTTAGCATCACTGCATCTCCCTCTTCTCGCGTGGCCCTTTCAAAATTTCTGTTCATGACAAACGTGTGCATTTGAAAACGTGCTGTTCTACTTGACTTTATCATCAACCCCAGCATTTTTTCTCACAAAAATTTAATAGCCAAGCGGAAGCAAAGAGGAGTTTATCAAACTGGCCGCCAGCTTCCAGCTCAGTTGGAACTTCCTTCTCACTGCCGTGAGCAAAGCCATGACCCTCTGCCGCAGGGATAGTTTTGGTAAGTCAGAGGATTAAAAAAAAAAATTGTTTTCTACCCTTTGAAGACTTTATTATAGCATAAGTGTTTTCCATATTGCTATGGTAAAAGCTCAGCTACTCATCAAGAGATTGGCAGTTCGAATCCACCAGCCGCTCCTTGGAAACTCTATGGGGCAGTTCTACCCTGTCCTATAGGGTCACTATGAGTCTGAATCGACTCTACGGCAGTGGGTTTTATGTAGAATCTGCAGTCATTGTTTTGAACCTTTTGGTATAAAAACATAGATACAGAAAACCAGACAAAAGCATAGGAATCTTCTTTTTTAACGGCAACATGATAGTCTGTTAAACAGGTGAAGCATGTCTCATTCACCCATTCCGTCATTGTTGGACACGTGGGAAGTGTCCCCTTGTTTTTGAATTATGCTCTTGGTGACATTTTGAGCAAAGCACCAAGGGAGATAACTGAGGTGGAGGAAAAATGGGATCTTTGGGGTACCCACATTTAACTTTCAGGAACAACGATGGATAAAGTTCCCATTGTATGTAGATGGTGGAAATAATGAAGTAGTCCCTGGTGGTGCAAACAGCTGCTAACCAAAAGGTTGGCAGTTTGAGTCCACCCAGAGGAGCCTCAGAAGAAAGGCCTGACGACCTACTTCCAAAAAATCAGCCATCGAAAACCCTGTGGATTGCAGTTCTATTCTGACACACATGGGGCCGTCATGAGTCAGAGCTGACTCAACAGCAACTGGTTTGGTTTGGGTTTGGTCTTCTTCCTGTCCAAAAGCTGCCCCCTGCCTCAGGTTCTCTGGGAATGGAATGCTGCCCTCATGACTGACCCCACCCGGCCCCTTTAGGATCAACTATAGGAATGAGACTCTGGTGAACAGGAAGTAAAAGCCCCAGAAAAGTTGTTAGTTTCACAGAGATTTATTTCTGTATCCATCTGTCTATTCTTTTTTGGTTGCTATTTAAATGCAGGCTCCTGGCATCTGTTTCATTTGCTGCTTCTGGAATATGTGATTCATGTACTTCAGTCATGCCTAGAGGAGGACGTGGAGAATCTCAGAGAAATGCTGTCAGATGACCAGCCTCTCATCCAGCCGCACCAGGCTCTTTTCCACCCTCCGGATTCTTCACCAACTCAGGAGTGCGAAGGCCCGACTGTGGAGCCGCCCACGGTGACGCTGAAACACGTGAGCCAGAGCTGGTGTCCCGCAGATGTGAGCGGCGTGATTCTCAGGGTCCTGGGCTTCCTTGTGGACGCCGCCACGGGCATGAAGGTAGAGCCCCTGGAACCCCCATTTCCATACCATTGTTTCTAGGGAATAAGAACTCAAGGGTGGTTGGCAAACCCATAAAGATCACATGGTGCAAGAACTGATAAAGAATTTTAGAGCCAGCTGTGCTATCGGGACTTTGCTAAGGGCGATTGGAGCAGCTTATCTGGTTCTCACTGACAGGCGCAGGTCTCTGGGGCCCTGATGTGTGCCTGGCGTGATTAGCGATGGGGAGTGTTTGGATGGCCTGGGTCTCACGTTCCCAGGGCTCCCATCTAGCCGGCGTGGTTCTGGCATGGTTAGACTCACAAGGTAATGGTGTGAACTGGAAATGCCTCTAGAGTTCAAAGAAGGGGACACCGAGGAGTCTGAGTAGAAGAGAACTTGCAAAGATTGAACAGGGTTACATCTTGAAAAATAAAAATAAGCGTTGCTATTTGTGTAGCACCTACTGTCTACTCTTTGGAGCCCTGGTGGTGCAGTGGTTAAGTGCTACAGCTCTTAACCAAAAGATCGGCAGTTCAAATCCATCAGCTGCTCCTTGGAAACTTTATGGGCAGTTCTATTCTGTCCTACAGGGTCGCCATGAATCGGACTCATCTAGATGGCAATGGGGGCAATGGGTTTGGTTTTTTTTTTTTTTTTTTTAATATACCCTTTGGAGACCTGGTGGCACAGTGGTTAAGTGCTTGGCTGCTGACTGAAAGTTCAGTGTTTCAAACCCACCCGCCTCTTCAGGGGAGAAAGATATGGCAGCCCGCTCCTGTAAAGACTACAGCCTTGGCAACCCCACGGTGCAGTTCTCCTCTGTCCTATAAGGTCACTATGAGTCCAAATGGACTCGACAGCAACGGGTTATGTACCCTTTATGGAGTTCCTGGTGGCACAGTGGTTAAGAGCTTGGCTGCTAACCAAAAGGTTGGCAGTTCAAATCCACCAGCCACTCCTCGGAAATCCTATGGGGCAGTTCTACTCTGTCCTATAGGGTCGCTACGAGTTGGAACCGACTCGACAGCAACAGGTTTGGAGTTCCTGGGTGGCGCAAATGGTTAAGCACTTGACTACCAGCCGTTCAAACCCACCCAGATATACCTTTTATACACATTATCTTAAAGCCATACAATCCTACAGACTATCTATTCTTACCATTTTCGTGTGATGGATGAGCAAACTGAGGCTCAGAGAACCTGAGTGACATACATAAAGTCACACAGCAAGTAAATGCAAGTAAATAGAGGACCAGAGATTGGAGCCCTGGCCTGCCTGGTGTCAAGCCTGTTCTCATCCCACAACACTCCACAACACTGTCTCCGATGTCAGCTGGAGGACGACCCAGCCCAGAGAAGAGGAAGACTCAGATTGCAGACAGGGCCTTGAATACCAGGACGATGAGACTGAACTGATGCAGGAAGCAACTGCAACTCCTCCACTGGGGAGGAGGGAGTGGACTAATTTAAGCAAAAACAAAATTAGTGACAGCAGTTGTTTTAGTACTAGTTTCAAAAACATCTATACACGTGCTCAGGATGTTTAGCCACTTTACAAAGGCTCTGTCTTGTACCCTTTTGAATAGATGAGGGGTTGGGCTTGGTAGGAGACCATCAGAGAGATGCGTTGGCCTCAGTGGTGGTCAGTAGTGGTCATGCCTGTCCGAATGAGTCACAGCCTGAAACTGTCTTAGTTATGTCGTGCTGCTATAACAAAAATACCACAAGGGAGTGGCTTTAACAAACAGAAGTTCATTCTCTCACAGTTTAGGAGGCTGAAGTCCAAAATCAGGGTGCCGACTGTAGGGGAAGACTTTCTCTTTCTGTCAGCTCTGGAGAAAGGTCCTTGTCTCTTCAGCTTGTTTCCTGGTTCCTTGGAGATCTCCATGGGGCTTGGCATCAGTCTTCCCTCATCTCTGCTTCTTACCTTGCTTGTTTAATCTCTTTTATGTCTCAAAAGAGATTGACTCAAGATACACCGTACAGTAATCCTGCCTCATTAACATGACAAAGACAACCCATTCCCAAATGGGGTTATAACCACAGGCATAGAGGTTAGGATTTGCAACACATATTTTGGAGGGACATAATTCAATCCACAACACTGTCATGACCTACGGTCCTCTAAATAACCAGAACCTGCCGGGGTCCTTTCCTTCCTAAACAAAGCTCTCGTTCTCAGTTCTCTAGGTTGCCGAGGACCTGTACGAGCTGTTATTAGTCACCTATTCTGGCAAGATATGTGTTAGACAAAACTAGTAGGAACAGGAGCAAAGAAAGTGCATCTCTCAGGTTTAAAAAGGCTCACTTAGTCCACATTTGGTCTTTGCTTTTTCTGGTGGGATGGGAAATTCGTACAGCCACTGCATTTGACGCCCTCTGTGCAGTAGACTCAGATGCATGTCTATAAATAAGAAAACGCCTTTGCAAGGGTGTGCGTGAAGCACACACCAAAAATGAGTACGAAATGGTGAAATGCTGACCCCATATCATGGAGCCCAATTTGTGAGTGTAAACTGGGCCTCTTTAGAAGGGGAGCAGCTGGGTGCAGATAAGATGCCAACCACGGAGCCTAGTGTTTCTGCATTGTTCTCAGAGAAAAGGCCCAGTCAGATCTGGAGAAAGACCCGTTTGGCCAGCCTGCACCCAGGTGAATGCTTTGCTCCTGACACTCCTGAGAACATACCCAGTCATGGCGACAGAGCCCTTCCAGGGCTGGGCCAGCAGCCAGCTTGGTCGAGCGTACTCTGGAGTATTCCGTGGAGCCCCAGCAGAACGAGCATGTGTGCGGGGCCTCAGTGTTCAGCTCCAAGTGAGCAGATCTCCCCTCTCACTGGGTGGGCGACAGCTAGCCCTGTAGCATGGCAGTTTTACATGATCTTAATTGCCAAGGTAACCGGAAGTAGACTTTTAGCGTTTCTGCCACAGTTAGAAGCAGGCGGAGAGCAGACACTGATGGTCTCCCCCTGCTAGGCATTCTTAAATGATTACTTCGTCTTTTCCTCAAAATACCCTAATGAGATAGGTGTCATCAGTACCCCATTTGACAGATGGTGCAACTGAGGCTCATAGACTGTCTTTTCCCAGCATCCTCTCCCCAGAGGGTATTCTATTATGTGTTCTAATTCCAAAGGAGGTGAGTTAGGAGTAAATTAAAATATCTTAACATCTGATGATTTAGTCAAATACAGAAAATCATTTTGGAAAACTCAAAAAGTCTTCACGTGAGTTCCCCTCTTGAAGGCACTATCACCGTGAAAACCACCGTGAAAAGCCTTTGCTTAGGGCTAGGAGAAACGAGAAGGAGGCCTGGTGGTGCAATTGTTAAAGCTCTTGGCTGCTAACCAAAAGATCTGTGGTTCAAACCCACCGATGCCTCCGTGGGAGAAAAGACTTGGCCAGCTGCTCCTGGAAAGATTACAGCCTAGAAAACCCTATGTGGCAGTTCTACTCTGTCCTGTAGGGTCACCAAGAGTCGGAATCGACTCCATGGCACACCGCAGAAGAAAGGAGGTAGTAACGGGGTGGCCACACAGTTAAGCGCCTGACTACTAGTCGAAAGGTTGGCGGTTCGAACCCACTCGGAGATGCCTCGGAAGACAAGCCTGGCGATCCACTTCCTAAAGGCCACAGCCATTGGAAACCTTACGGAGCAGTTCTACTCTGCACACGTGGGGTCACCATGAATCAGAGTTGAATGACGGCACTAACAACAGGAGAAAGATGCTCTCTAAGAAACTAGAAATCCTTCAAGACCTACTTCTGAAGAATACCCTCTGGAGAGAGGATGCTGGGAAAGATATAAATCTGAAGTACTTCATATTTTCCTGTGCGCTTTAAACACAGATGTCAAAGCTCTCGTGCTCGTGTTCTGTGTGCCACGTCCTGGTTCAGAACTTTAAGTTCCTGACTTCAGTTTTCATCAGCCAGGCAGACAAAGACATCCAAAAAGTGGATACATTTAGCACCTTAAGATTTGTTCTCCAGAGAGACAATGTATATAAAAGACAGATTAGGGGATAGTTTCTTGCCTTCTAGAGAGACTCTTAGCTTTCCAGCAAGAAGTGTCATAAAGATGATTTTAAGCAGGCACTCTCTTAGACATGTAAAATACTCTTCGGTTTGGGGAATTTTTATTTAAACACAAGGCTTGCAGTTACGCAGATGTTACGCAGGTATTATAATTACACAGGGAATGCTGGTACTGGACTGGTGGCTGTCATGTCATCCTGTGGTTGGAAAATACCAATGTAGAGTCAACTAGGTTAGCCACAGGCCCGGTGATCTATGTGGTGGATGCCCCAGTACAACGTGGCAAAATATTTTCAAGCCACATCTCTTTTTCTGTTTAATTAGGTAACATTCACTGTAACGAATAAGCATAGGGTTAAGTATGCAGTTCGGTACATAACTTCCGGGCTCGAATGTCCCCTCTTCCTTGGGCAGGTTGCTTAATTTATTTGTTCCTCAGTTTCCTCTTCGACGAAATGGGGATACTAGTATATAATTCCATAGGGGAGCCCTGGTGGCACAGTGGTTAAGAGCTACGGCTGCAAACCAAAAGGTCGGCAGTTCAAATCCACCAGCTGCTCGTTGGAAACCCTGTGGGGCAATTCTACTCTGTCCTTTAGGGAAGCTAAGAGTTAGAATCAACTTGACAGCAATGGGTTTTTCTTGGTTTGGTTTTGGTTTTTGGTTATGGGGTTTAACTAAGTTAATCACTGTAAAATGATTAGATTATTTCTTAACGTATATTAAGCCCCCACTAACCTCAACTCGTTAGTATCATTCCAGCAAAACCACCTAATCTGAGCCCTTTCCTATAACACTCTCTACCCAAGACCCCAGCTCCTTTGAAATGCATTGCAGTGGGGTTTGACCTATATTTAATTGGCAGAAGCAACAGAGATGACATTAATTGAACTACATAATAAAGCAATGGAAGCAGATTAAGTGTCATATAATCCAAGGTAATATGCATTAGAGAATAATTAAACCTGCCTCTGTTCCTTCATGCCTGCTGAATTAGCTATAACGACTTAAAAGATTTAACGCCAAAAAGTTACGCTCATCTTGTTTTCATTACATTCATTATTCGGCATCTGCGCTCGTCATCAACAAGAAAAGCACACCCTCTGCGTCCTATCTGCATTCATCTGCCCTGAGTTAGCGCCCCATTTGGCTGAGCACCCGTGGCAGCCTCTGAGGCACCGAGCGGTGCCCTGCACTTCTGATAACAGCTGAAGTCAGCATTCCAGATTGCCAGATCCATTTGTTGCTCTCCACATTCCAGCAATGTTCAAGAGAGTAAAACGCCAAAGCATGTTTAAGAATAACAAGAAAATAATGCGATATGAAAGAAAGAATATTCTTTTTGAAAACATACTACGCGGTTTTCACTGTGGGCCATGTGCTCATGGACTAAAGCACGAACAAATATTATAAATAAGTGATTCTTCAGCTGTAGGGTAAAGGTAAAGACAATTTTTTTGAGAGAGGAGAAAAACATCTTTTCATTGGGTGGTGATGCCGAGTTGAATGTAGAGAGAGTGAGAAGTAGACTTTCATTAACCTCGCATTAGAGATTATCATGGAGGGTTTGACGTCTCTGAGGGGGGCAAGTGGTTTGCACTCATCTACTAACCTAAAGGTTGGTGGTTCAAACCTACTCAGCAACATCGCCAAAGAAAGGCCTGGCCATCTGCTTCCCTAAAGACTACAGCCAAGAAAACCCTAGCGAGCATTTCTACTCTGTAACACGGGGTCGCCATATTGGAATCAACTCAATGGCAAAGGGTTTTTGGTTTATTGATTAAATCAGACCGAGAAAATACAGGACATTCATATTGGATTTAAAGTAATCATGTCCGAGGATTTTCCAATCTTCAGAGCATGCCTGGAGCTAAGGGAGGGATAGCATATCATATCTGTTTCTCTGATGAGAAGACTTACTCAGACAGATTAAATAACTTATCTAAAAAGCTGACACTTAAACTAACATAATACTCTATGAATCTCTCAAATCTGTTGCCACCCATGGAGTGTCATTTCCACCAATATCCACTGATGGTTCTCACAGTCGCTCTTTGTTAGTCATTGTTGTCTTTGTCAGACGGCGGAGGGGGCGTCTGGATGGGAACCTGAGCCGACTGTGTCTGCTCCAGAGATGGATGGGAAATGCCGGGATTGGTATCCATCTGGAAGGCATGGAGGCCCGCATTATCTTGCACAAACTCCCTTCTGATTTTCATCCACTCTTTCTCTGACTTTAAAGGAAGAGAGGCTTACTTTCACAATGCTTCAAGGGTGTTTCTCTTTGTCTAAAGAAAAGCCCATCTGCCCCGAGCACCAGGCACCCCTCTTTCTTGTACCATCCCCAGATTGTGAGTTCTTCCAGGAAGTCCTCACCAGACCTTGAGTGTTCCCTGAGAAATTAGGATCTCCTGGGTGGTGCAAGTGGTATGTGATCAGCTACTAACCTAAAGACTGGCGGTTCAAACCCCACCCCCAGCATCTCCTTGGAAGAAAGGCCTGGCGATCTGCTTCCGTAAAGATTATAGCCGAGAGAACCCTAGGGAGCAGTTGTACTCTGTAACGGTAGGGTCACCATGAGCCAGAACTGACTCCATGGCAATGGGTTTGGCGGTGGCGGTGTTCTTTTTGTTTGTTAGTTTTTGTTTTTTAGTAGTAAGAATAAAAAGAGCCCTGGTGGTGTAAATGGCTGAGCGCTCGGCTGTTAACCGAAAGGTTGGTGCTTCAAACTCACCTAACCTCTCCACGGGAGAAAGACCTGTTAGAAAGACCTGGCGATCTGCTTCCATAAAGACTACAGCCAAGAAAACTCTGTGGGGCAGTTCTATGGTGTCCCATGGGATTGCTATGGGTCAAAGACAACTCGTTGGCACCCAACAACGACAACAGCAGTAGGAATAAATGTATATCTTCCCAGTTCGTTCCCAAGGTGGGATAGAGCTTGGTAGAATAATTCCAAAGGTGGTTCCTGCAGCAGGAAGTAGAGTCACTTTCTCTTCTTGTCTTTTCCTTTTTAAAATTTTCGCCTTGTAGCTCATCCAGGTACTGCTGGAAGACAAGGACACCGAGCACACCGTGAGACTCAGCCTTCCTGTGGGGCAAGAGGCCCTCGTAACCCTCAGAGACGGACAAAGATTTGTGATCCACGTGTCAGATGTACCCCAAAGCTCTGAAAATATTTATTTCAGAGAAAGCGATACTAATATGTAAGATGATTATTTGAATAGGGCATGAGAAAACTGATAGATTTTCATTCTTAAAAAATATATTAAATGCTAAAACTTTTGTACTGATATGGGAGAAGACTTTATGTACATAATAGATGTAGCATTGTCTGTGTTATGTTTAGATGTAGTTCAAAGAGTTGGTTTTGATCAAATATATAAACTGATTTGGAGAATAATTTTTGCCTCCGTTGCTTTTCTTTTGGGATTTTCCGAGTATTTCTACTTCTGGACTTAAGGGAACTTGAAGCAGTCTTACTCTGAGAGTAACGAAATAGATAGATCTCCAGAGAAAGATAGCTAAGTTTGAAAAACACAAACCAGTCCAAGCAGTAAAATACCAATGGTAATTATTTTCCTCCCTTTTGGTGGTGCTGCAATCAAAATACAACTTGTAGAAAGACCCCCCTCAGGCAGTCAGGAACAAGAAGAACTCAGGTGGACACCACTATTAGACTCACTGTCTGGTCCATTAAACGTCTTTGTTTCTCCATCCCGGGTTTGTTAAAGCGAGGTAGGATTTTGAACGCAACGATGTCTGCAGCAAAGGAAGCCGTCCTGCTCTGAATCACTTTTTCTTTCTCTCTCTGCAGAAAAACTCTTAAAATGTTGAAGCTAAACATAGTTCATTGTTCGACCAGATTCATTTCTCTCTGCCCGACTATGATACATAAAGGGATTTAAAAATTCATGCTTAACATAACTGCTGCTAGATACAGGAAGGATCAGGAATATTTTATCCATCACATATTACATATGAAATTAATTAAATGTCCCTAAATTCATGGACATCTTAAAGAAACGTAAGAACTATATGTCCCTAGATACGTTAGGACTGATTGATCTGTGTGGTTAAAAAAGGGAGTCCCTGCATGATGCAAATATTTAACATGCTCAGCTGATCACCAAAACGTTGGATGTTTGAGTTCACCCACTGGTGCCTCAGAAGAAAGCCCTGGTGATCTACTTCTGAAAAATCAGCCACTGAGACCTCTATGGGGCACAGACCTACTCTGACGCAACGGGGTTGCCATGAGTCAGAACCAACTCGACGGTAACTGGTGGCGGTATGGTTTTTAAAAAGTGATGTTTTAGAGCCCTTTACTACTACGTTTAAAATATCATCTCATTTCTTAAACTTTCGGGGAGTGGTTGTTAATTATCAGCAACTCAGAGGTATTTATTGTTCTGCTCACTGTTGAGTGATTCAGCGTGTAATTTGTTTGCTCACTCAGTAAACAGGTGGTGGACTGAGTCCAGGAACAAAGTCAACACTGGGATTTATAAGTCTGGGAACAGTGGATTTTGTTTGCATATTTGTGGGAAAACTGATGCGCTGAAAGCTAGCGGAGGTCATTCTGGGCCCTCATCAAGATGGATTGACACAGTGGCTGCAGCAATGGGTTCAGGAACAATAACGATTGTGAGGATGGCGCAGGACCAGGCAGTGTTTCGTTCTGTTGTACATGGGGTCCCTGTGAGTCGGAATCAATTCGACAGCATCTCACAACAGCCCTCCATACAACCTGACGTGGTAAGGAATATAAACATGTGATCCTCAGTGATGCACAGGAGTAATGGTGTTCTCCCCAACAGTGATCTCAAATGCCATTAATAATGAGATCCCGTACAGACGGAAATTTCCACAGGGCGCATCACTGATAGTCAATATGGTACTCACAGAAGGAGAGACACATCAAAAATTTTTTCATGTTAATAATAGCTACACCCACATATATCTTAGAATATAAATTTTCACTCATGATGATAGTTGGGAACCCACTAACATTCTGCAAAAAGACAGATGTCCAAAAACAGATATTTGATCTAAAATTTAAAATGACGTCTTCAAAAATTAAGCATTTGTCAGTTATTTATTCTTTTAAGCACAGAGGATCATCAATGAACAAAACAGGCAAACCCTGCTCTTATGAAGCTTTTATTCCTGGTAGGGAAAGACAGACATGGAACTAATCGACAAATAGAAGCGTAATGTGACAGGTGGTGATAAGTGTAATAACAAAACTAAGACACAATCACCCCAAAAAGAAACGCCATTCCCACCAGCAGGCATTCTTTCTTCCTCCCTTCCTAGCCCATGGCAACCAGTAATCTAATTTCTGTCTCTACGGATTTGCCTATTCTGGATATTTCATGTAAATAAAATCATATGATATGTGGCCTTTTGTGACCAACTTCTTTAATTTAGCTTGATGTTTTCAGGGTTCACCCATGTTGTGGCACGTATCAGTACTTCACTGTTTTTAATTGCTGAATACAGTTCTGTTGTATGGATATACCACAGTTTATTTATCCATTTGTTAGTTGATGGACGTTTAGGTTGGTTCTGCTTTTTGACTACTATGAATAATGCTTTTAAAAACTATTGTGTACTAGTTTTTGCTTGTTTCTTTGTTTTTCCTTTGCTCCAGATCTTTTTCTTTTGGGGGGGGTATTGCTATTTTTTTTTTCTTGTTTTTGTAAAAATATATATAATACAACATTTGCCAATTTAACAATTTTCAGGCATTGCATACAAGTTTTTGTGGGGACATATATCTTCATTTTTCTTGGGTATATACTTAAGGATGGAATTGCTGGGTAATATTGTAAGTCTGGAAACCCTAATGGCACAGTGGGTAAGAGCTACAGCTGCTAACCAAAAGGTCAGCCGTTTGAACCCACCAGCTGCTCCTTGGAAACCCTATGGGGCAGTTCTACTCCATCTTATAGGGTCACTATGAGTCGGAATCAACTCAGTGGCAACATGTTTGGTTTTTTTGGTATTGTAATTCTACATGTAACCTTTTGCAGAACTGCCAACATGTTTTCCAACATGGCTGCACCATTTGTATATTCCCACCAGCAATGAACGAAGCTTTCAATTACTCTGCATTCTCACCAACACATATTACTTGCCTTTTTTATTACAGCCATCCTAGTGCATGTGACCTGTTACCTCATTGTGATTTTGGATTGCATTTCCCTAACGACTAATGATGTTGAACATCTACTCATGTGCTTATTGGCCATTTTCATATCGCCTTTTGGAAAAAAGTCTATTCAAATCTTTTGCCCATTTTTAAAAATTTATTTTGTTGCTGTTGTTGAGAATATACACAGCAGAACATACGCCAATTCAACAATTCCTGCATGTACACTTCAGTGACATTGATTACATTCATCAAGTTCTGCAACCATTCTCACCCTCCTTTTCCAAATTGTTCTTCCCCTATTAACATAAACTCACTACTCCCTAAGGTTCCTCTTTAATCTTTTGAGTTGCTGTTTTCAATCTGATCCTATGTAGATAGTTTTTATAAGAGCACAATGCTCAAGATAGACATTTACCAGTTAAACTAAACTGTTGTTTGGTTTTTAGATGACTTCAGGGGATATTTTTGGTTTAAGGTTTAAAGGTTATCTCAGGGCAATAGTTTCAGGTGTTCATCCAGACTCCATGGCTCATTAGAAAGTCTGGATTCCATGAGAATTTAAAATTCTGTTCTGCATTTTCCCCCTTTTGGTCAGAATTCTTCTCCCGAACCTTTGATCAAAACATTCAGTAATGGTAAAAAAAGAAAAAAAAAAGTTCAATAATGGTAGCCTATTTTGTCTCGTTTTTAATTGGGTTATGTCTTAGTCATCTAGTGCTGCTGTAACAGAAATACTACAAGAGGATGGCTTTAACAAAGAGAAATTTATTTTCTCACAGTCTAGTAGGATACAAGTCCAAATTTGGGGCATCAGCACACGGGGAAGGCTTTCTCTGTTGGCTCTGGAGGAAGGTCCTTCTCATCAATCTTCCCCTGGACTAGGAGTTTCTCCATGCAGGAAGCCTGAGTCCAAAGCTCCCAGCACTGCTTTCTTGGTGGTAGGAGGTCCCCATATCTCTGCTCAATTTTGTCTTTTATATCTCAAAAGAGATTGGCTTAAGACACAATCTAATCTTGCAGATCTCATCAACATAACTGCCACTAATCCATCTCATTAACATCATAGTGATAGGATTTATAACACATGGGAAAATCACATAAGATGACAAAATGGTGGACAATCACATAATACTGGGAATCATGGCCTAGTCAAATTGATACACATATTTTTGGGGGACACAATTCAATCCATGACAGGTTGTTTGTTTGTTTTTTGCTATTGAATTGTAAGAGGTTTTTATATATTCTGGATATAAGTCCTTGTCAGATATATGATTTGCAAATATTACACTAGTAAATGCATCAGTATGCTTTCTATAATAGAATTTTTTTTTTTTACCTAATCAGAACTCCTTTATCATTAAATTAACAGAATTAACGATATCATTATTTAATGTCACCTAATACTTGGTCCATATTAAATTTCTTCACTTACCTCGATAACAGCTTTTTACAGTTGGTCTATACATTGCATTTTGTTTTGTGTCTCCTAAATCTTTTCATATCTATAATTATACACCTCTGATTTTTCACGCCATTTATTTTTTGAAGAAACTGGGTTACCTGTGCTACAGAACGTTCCTCTGTATAACCTGTCCCATTGGCCTCTGTATTTCTATAAGCTGATAGTTAAATCTAGAGGCTTGAGTAGATTCAGGTTTTTGTTTTTTAAACACTTCATAGAAAGGGTTGCATATTTCCTATTGCATCCTACTGCATCACATCAGGAAATATCTTATGTCTCTTTATCCCACTTTTGGTGAAATTAAGGTTGATTCAAGAGCTCAGATGTTGCCAGACTGATCCATCCATCCTAAGAGCATTGGGGTTTGTGAGGTGATTATTGCTCACCCTCTTAAGTCCCTTTTGAGTTTGCATCTAACTGGGAAATAAAACACGGGAACCAGAAAGCTTAATAGAAAGAAAGCTAATCGGGAAAAATTGACTAAATAGTACTCCTAATGGGTTCTGCCATCAAACTTTATCCCTCAGCCATAGACAGAGTAGGGCAAGAGAACACCTCCTTCAGAGGCAGCCAGCCCCAGCATGGAGAGGAGAAGGAGGAGCAGACCATTCAGAAAAGAATAACCCCACATTTTGTGTTCCTCTTCCCAAGATCATCAATCAGATGAGTCATTCCTCCTTCCCTAGTGAGGCAGGAGTACCTAAGAGGACAGCTGAAAGCCTGCAACGGTCCTCCAAATGTTCCCTTTCCAGAGGTGGGAATGAGAGTACCATCTCCTCTGTGAAAAGGTAACACGTGGATAATGTGCATGCGCCCGTCCAATATCCCACACTGTAATCACAACAACCAAATGACGTAGATGTGAGTATCCCCACTTCGCCAACAAGAAAATGAAGACTCAGAGGGTCAAATGACGTACCAGTATCACACAGCTAGTAAGTGATACAGCAGGATTTGAACTCATGACAGTTTTTAATGACTGATGGCACTGCCTCTCCAAGACCACTAGGCACATTATTCTGGAGGCTGAGAGGAGACTAGGGGGAGAGAAAGAGGGAACACAGTAAGTTAGAAATTTAGGTCTGCAAGTCGACAGCCTGCAGAGCGCGGTAGCAGCCACGGAGCAGATGAGATCACTCAGGGAGACTACAGAGAGCGAGAAGAGAAGGCTAAGGACAGAACTCCCCCTAGAATACCACAGTTCAGCAGTGGACAGAGGAGGGACCCCACAAAAGAGACTGAGACGCTACAGCTAGAGAGGTAAGACAAGACGCAAAGGAGGAGAGAGAGGTTAGCAGCGTCAAAGGCTTCAGGGAGCTCAAGTAAGAGACCAGAAAGAGGTCCGCGGGGAAAGGCCGTCTGGGGAGGGAGGGGGGCCAGTTGGGAGTGCACTGAGGAGATTGCAAGGTATTTTCATCCAGAATAAATGTGAAGAAGGACTATTAGATTCCAGGTAGAGAATCTAGAGCAGAAAATGTCTTCCAGGGGACAAACTGTGGACTCTGTAAGCAGAAGGAAGAAAGCGTAAATAATTTCAAATTATTTTGGTGCCTATAGAACTTAATTACTGAAACAATCCAATTTTTGATCAATAAGAGAATGTTTTAAAGTGGTGGTACAATCACACAATTCTCTTTCCAGTCTACCCCCCACCCCCCGCCTCCACGCGGGCTGCTGGCTCCCCTTTATCTTAGCTTACATGTAGATAACTTGATTCTGCTTTTAGTTGAACTGGCAGCAACGCCCTCCTGCCTTAGCAAAACGTGAGACAGTTATTCTCCTTGCTGAGAAAGAAGACGGGCTTTGGTATCAGACAGAGCTGGTTCCACTCTCACCTTCACGATTTAGTCAGTCTCCTTCGTAAAACGGTGATAGGCCCGTGGGTGGTGCAAAAGGTTTGCCCTCGGTTAAGCCAGGCTACTAATGAAAGGCTGGCCGTTTGAATCCATCCAGTGGGGCCTTGGAGGAAAGGCCTGGCAATCTACCTCGTTGTACACTACAGCCATTGAAAACCTTGTGGAGCACAGTTCTACTCTGAAACGGGGGGAGTGGGGGGCCCAGTGAGTCGGAATCCACAGCAACTGGTAAAACGGTGATAACAACCCCTACTTTGTATTAAACCAAAAACCCGTTGCCCCCAAGTCGATTCCAACTCATAGCGACCCTATAGGACTGAGTAGAACTGCCCCATAGGGTTTCCAAGGAGCGCCTGGTGGATTCCAACGGCCGACCTTTTGGTTTGCGGTCGAGCTCTTAACCACTGCACCACCAGGGCTCCTTCTTTGTATTAGTTTGACAATATACAGTGCTTACTTCGTGTTACGCACTGTTCTAAACCTGTTCAGATATTAACTCGCTGAATTCTCCCAACACCCCAAGGAAGTAGGTGCTACTACAGTCATCTTTATTGTCTAATAAAGGAAGTGGGGCGCAGAGAGGTGAAGTAACTTGGCAGGGTCACACAGCTAGTGAGTGGAGGTACTGGGCCGACCCTTGAACGCCCACGGTCTGGCTGCAAAGCTGTGCAGAAACGAATCCACCTCCGGACCTGGCACACTAGGAAATCCGCCCACGGAGGCTGCAGCGCTACTGCGTTCGCGGGTGGCGTTTGATCTTCCCAAAGCCTCGCCTTCTCAACGTGGCGTGGGGCTCTAAGGGCATCCCTGGGAAGCGTGCTGGGTACCCCACCCAGGAATCCTCCGGGTGGTGGGAAGGGGAGGGGGTCCAGCTCCCCGCTCTGCCGCAGGGGGGCACTGCCGCCCTTCCCGGCCGCGGGCGCGCTGCTGGCGGTGCCGGCAGGGCTTCCTGGCTGCAAGATGTCCGTGCGCGGCGGCGGGCGGGCGCGGGCCGGGGCCGGCCTCTTGGGGCTGCTGTGCTGCAGCGCCCTGCTGCCCCCGGCCACGGGGTACGTGATCGTGAGCTCCGTGTCCTGGGCCGTCACCAACGAGGTGGACGAGGAGCTAGACAGCGCCTCCACCGAGGAGGCGCTGCCCGCGCTGCTGGAGGACTCGGGCAGCATCTGGCAGCAGAGCTTCCCGGCCTCGGCGCACAAGGAGGACGCGCACCTGCGGCCCCGGGCCGCCGCCGGCCGCCCCCGGCCGCCCCCCGGCCCGCCCGGCATGTTCTCCTACCGGCGCGAGGGCGCCCCGCCCGCCCGGGCGCCGCGCCCCGGGACCGCGCGCTTCCTGGCCCACTCACACTCCTGGGGCTGTCTGGCCACCGTGTCCGCCCGGGAGAAGGTAAGCCAGCCTCGGCCCGGCCCGGCTCGCTCTGGCAGTGCCCGACAGCAGGCCGCAGGTGTCTGCCTCGCGGTGGCCTGGACATCAGGAGCTGTGGCAGTGAGGCAGGGGATGCTAGCGGTCACTCACGCACTCTCATCCAGGTCTAAAGACGTGCCCGGTGGGCGAGATTGGACCGTCTGCACCATGTAAATAACGAGACCAGATTCTGCTTGCTTAACCTGGCAAAGGGGAGGTGGGGGGGTAATGAAAATCAGGCTTCTGGCCAGGTGGTTGGGGACTGAAGCGCTGTCTTGTGGCGGTCAGTGAAAGGGACGCACAAATAAGCAGTGGCTGACCAGAGACCTGGACAAAGGAAGCCAGAGCCGCCTTGGATTTGGAAAGAAGGCAGCCACCGCCCCCTCCCGGCTCACAGCACTGTCCAGGGGACCCCAAACCTCCCCCTCACCCTCCCCCCAACCTGCTGATGGTAACCGCAGCAGAAACGGAGTGAAAGACACCACCGGAGCCTGTGCAGAAATTTACATGGTTAAAAATTGAACTCAGGAATTTTTCTGGAAAAGAGGTGTGTTGTGGAAAGTGTGTGCATGCTGTAATGAGCTGCCATCAGCTGCGATTTTTATTGTGAAGTTCACAAACGTTCACTCACCTGTTAGACAGGATTCAGTCTTGAGCAGAAATGACATGAATAAATCATGAGGCTGGAACTCTCATAAATATACATCCTCCAGAAGGAGATAGACGTAAGGGTTCTATTACAGGGCAGTAACTTGAACTGCTATTTACTTTATTAGTAATAATAATTTGTAGAACGTACAGGATTTGGACCAGGGAGTAGGTTCCCACTCTCAGCTCGGCGTCTCCCCAGCTCTGAGTCTGTGGCCAAGTCACTCTCTTTCCCCACTTCGCTTTCCTCATCTATAAAATTAAATGGTTAACTAGAGAGCTTTGAACGTCTTTTCGTTTGTTTTTATTTTAATATTATCTAAGTGACAACTTTATTCCAGTTATGGCAGACTCAGCTGCCGGTTGGATATTCATAGCATCCAAATGGTTTGTCACAGTTACGTCTGGTGCTCCTAAGACACACGCTAGGCAGATATGAAGTCTGTCTTGGTTTAAAACATAAATCTTTTCAAGCAGTTTTAAGTCTAATACAAATGTATTAAAGAAATGCATTTTAACTTCTGAGGTCGTTTTCATTAACTTTGTTGTAAGTTTCTCTTTCCAAAACTGACATTTAATCTAAATTCGGTAAAATCGGAAAACATTTACCAAGTGCCTGTCCAGTGTGCAAAGCATGACTCTGGACAGTTTATGATAAGCTGAAAAACAGAACTTGTGAATGAAGTGATGCTGCCCTTCTGGAGGACTCCTTAACATTTTGTTTCCTTAAAAGATTAAAAAAAAAAAAATTTAAAGCCCTCCCTTATCCCCTTTGTCATACAATACTCCAAAGACAAAGACAGCCCCTGAGTTCAGAGCTAAGTAGCAATGAGCTAGTATCCTCTGTAAGGGGGAAAACCCGTGGGAGATTGGGAGGCTTTAAACAACTGGGTTTGGGAAAACCTCAGACCTAAATCGTGCTGTGTATGTCTGAGAACTTCACCCGCCCTACTGGACGGTCATGGGGGAAAATTGCTACTTCATGTTTCTCTGACTTCCTTTAAGCTAAAAGTATAACAAACCAGTTTCCCATAGCTTGACATGTTATTGATTACAACTTAAAAAGTGATTAGTAAATGAGAAGGTGGCATGGCCCTAAAAGTAACAATAATAGAAATTTCCTGGAGTCCAAAAACCAGGTAAGTTGTCAAAGTTAAGACTTCCACTCTATTCCTGATGTTGCCAAAAATTTTGAGGAAGGCAGTGAAGGTAATGGGGCACCAACAGAGCTTGTGCAAGGAGCTTTAACCCTCCCCCATAAGTGTCATTGCCCCTCCCCAAAGTAACATTCAATTTAACAAAATGAGTGTGTTGTCAAAATCATTGTGATGCCATGCTCCCTCACGTCCCTGGTGTTATACCTCTTGGCCAGGGACACAGCCAAGCTCTCAGCAGAAGTCAGCTCATGCCTCTGCATTGACAAAGCCTTCTTTGGTGTCTTTTAGATCCGGGGGCTGCCTTTTGGGACCTACCTGCCCATCAGCGATGGCGTCATCAACAACAGCACTGGGATTCCTTTCTTCTACTTGACACCCAAGGACCCCGCTGTGGCTGATCTGATGAAGAACCCCATGGCCTCGCTGACGCTGCCGGAATCGGAGGGAGAGTTTTGCAGGTAGACCTCTGACTTGGCTTGTCCTCACTCGCACAGGTCCCCAGAAGCTTTGGGCAGAGGGGCAGGGATCCAGATGGACTCCTGTCCAGCTCACATGGCTTTAACAGAACCCTGAAGCTTTTAAAATTGAGATGTAAACTGGTATTTTTGCCAACTTGAAGTGGGAAAAGTATACCCTGGGATTCAGAGAACTATAATTCCACCACTCACCAAGCTGTGAGATTAGGGGGAAGTTACTTAACCTCCCTGAGTCTCAGTTTCCTCGTCTGTAAAATGGGAATAATAGTTTCTACCTCACAGGGTTATTGTGAGGGATGGCAATGCTGTATGTGCATGTGTCTTGGGTGGGTACCATGTACCGAGGTGGGTAAATGGCAGCTCTTGTTATCATGAAAAAGGGCAGAGAGGGGTTTGGTGAAGGAAGAGCCAGTAGGTCTTCTCTGCAACAAATGAATTTCTATCCCATCCTGAGAGATGTGTGCAATAAAGACCCTCAATCCTTTTGTGCACTTTGTCAAAAACTCTCTACAAGAAAAGCCTGCTAAAGATATTTAAGCACAAATGGAACGCTGATCCTGACACCTTCGTCGGAAGTCAGAATTCAAAATGCATAGCTTCAGACTAATCCTGCCAGTGAGATGCCTGCACCTAGCTGGTGTGGGGGGTGCGTGTGGGGGACCAACCCTGGAAGTGGGACATGCACCAGAGTGGTCTTGGGACACTCACCCTGTGGAGCCTCCGTCGCTTCATCTGTAAAAGGTAGAAATGCTTTAGAAAATCCCAGCTCTGAAATTCTATCATTCTTTATGCAAGGCATGAAAAACATAATAACTAAGCAAATTTGTTACTTCGTATGGAGGATAATCAAAGCAACAGTAAGCTGTAACTTGCAGCCTGGATAAGACCCTGTCATTTACCCTGGGACGCTGGCAGACACCAGCAACGAGAGACTTGGCTGAGTCCGTCTGGAGACGCTTCCACTGACCCACTGACCCAGTTTCCCATCAGGTGATGGCAAGAAGCCAGGACAAGTAATGTTTCCTTTTTCATGGACTGTTCTCCCTGTTCTTGGTCAGTCAAGCTGTCCGCCACTAGAAGTCTATTCCCAGGATACCTTTCTAAACGTCTCAGGAGTTTTCCTACCTCAGGCAGCTGAGCACCTGCATGTAAGTACTGAGAGCAATCATTGTGCTATGGCACGCTGATCCCAGAACCCGGAAGACACCTGCTGCGGGAGACAGGCAGGAGAATCCAGCTGAATGTGGCAGCCGCTGCATCCTCAGGCTGTGGGAGGCAGTCGTCTATCGACAGCCACCAGGCAGACGTCGGCGCGGACGGGCACCGGGCAGACGTCGGCGCGGACGGGCACCGGGCAGACGTCGGCGCGAACGGGCATCGGGCAGACGTCGGCGCGGACGGGCAGGAGCTGAAAGCTGAGAGTGGTGAGAAATTCCATTGAGGAGAGGTACTCGCAGGGGGCCTGGTTGCAGGGTACCTTCCTCAGCCCCCTCGGTAACCAGGTAGCCTTGCCTGTGTGGTCTTGAGCCGTGTGTGCAGACCTTCTTCATGGCCGGCCACCCGCAGAAAGTACAGACATCCATGCAGTAGGCAGTTGAGGCGGCTTATGGCCAGAAGTGACCCCCCCCCCAGGCCCCGCCCAGCCACCTGAGGGCTGCAGAGGGTACCTGGGCACACCTGTAACACTGGCCTGGGAGAGGAAGAAAGGGCCACCACCCATCGGTACCCTCACGTCTAGGTCCTCATGTGGAACTTCCGTTCCCCAGAACTGCTACCCCTTCACAGTGTTTAAGCTTCTAAAGTATTAAAATATCACGTAAATAAATACCTACGAAACCAAGTTTAAACCCAGCAGGCATCACGCTTCAAAGCAGAGGTTACCAGGTGATGAGGCTTTTGTTATCACCCCAGGACTAACACATTTGCTCCGCTGTTTCCCAGGAACTGCTTAAGCCCAGGCACCAGTCATCTGGGTGAGGCTAACTTTCCAAGTTCAACATCACATTTTAGGTTTCACCTCCACAATCTTTTTTTTTTTTTCCCAAAATATGTGAGACTTGGTTTTTACTGTACAGCACATATCTCAGAGCAAAACGCTGCAGAAACAACTACAAATCATTTTGGGGAAAAACCTGTAAAAAGAAAAACCAAAAACTTGCAACTGCTTTAGTTACACGGTCCTACAGTGAGGAATCCCCACTGGCAAAGGATGGAATGAGCACAGGACCTTCACCAGTCCAAGCTGCCCATCAGCGCTGGAAGAAGGGCAGACACCGGGCCTCTGAATACACCAGCCAGTGAGGGGCTCCCAGGACCAGCAGGCCTAGCAAAGCATCTGGCGGAAGCGTCCACGGCTAAGAGCTGTCCTGACAAGCACCTGGCGTGAAGTTTGGAGGGTTCACCTGGCAAAGCACCAACCTGCCGCCCCTCCGGCCTGAAGAGAACCACCAGCGAGACCAGGATTCATTTTCCTGGGCTACGCAGCCCTGCCCACCAAGCAGGGGGATCCAGACAACACTCATCTGACGTGCTGATGGCCGTATATCAAAGCCACTTCATCCTTTGGCCTTCAGAAGTCACGCTCGTCCTCAGGAAAATGACAGTTGCCTTCATTCTTGAAGCAGGTTGCCTTGGAAGCTCCTGGCAATAGCATTTTTGTTATCTCATTTGGAGCCTTGTGTACTCACAGCCTTTGGCTGGCGCTGTGCAGCTGGCGAGCGGGTGGGTCTTCCCCGCTTCATCCTCGGTGGGCAGGCAAACCAGGACTGGGTCTTTCTACAGGATGCGTCCCCAGGGCTCCTTGGGCCTGGAGGGCATGCCGGGGCTGCGGAGGCCCCAGAAACTGAGCAATAATCCGGAGTGTTCCGTGCAGCCTCCTCAGCGAGGACAGGCCGGGAGGAAGCAATGTGGCCAGGGATGCTCTGAGAGGAGGAAAGGGGGCAGCCCCTGGGGAGAGGGAGGTTCAGCTGCAAGCTTTCCTCCAGATCCATCAGGGCTGAGCCCTGTTCCTGCAGACGCCACAAGGACAGGCTGAGAAGCTTCGCCTGCACCGACAGGATGTGGTCCGGGAGAAGGCAGCCATCCAAGCGGGATGCAGGCAGGAAGGCCGAGAGGGATGCGGGTCGAGCTGAGGGAGCAGCTGTTCCTACTCCATTTGGCGTAAAAGACAACTGACAGACAGTATGTGTGTGTTTAACAGGCAGACAGCGTCCACAGCCAAACCACAACCTACAAACGTATCTTGCCTTAACAATTGCTGGTTTATTTCAAGTCCATTTTATGCTGTTATTGTGTTTACTCCTGGTGCTGTGCTGCCTTTATTTAATTAATTAGATGAATTAGGAATGGAAATCTATTCCCCAGCTCAGGATAAGAAGACAAATTGAGGATAAGACTCCAGTTTAATAAATTCACTTGCAATTAGCCATCCCCTCCCCTCTTCATTTTCCTTCGACATACGGTGGAGTCCCTGGGAGGTGCAAATGGTTAACATGCTTGGCTGCTAATCCAAAGGTTGGAGGTTCAATTCCACCCGGAGTGCCTGAGAAGAAAGTCCTGGTGATGCACTTCTGAAAAATCAGCCCTTGAAAACCCTGTGGAGCGCAGTTTTACTCTGACACAGGTGGGGTCGCCCTGAGTCGGAATTGACTCCTCAGCAACTGTTTCGTTTTTTTCGACATACATAAACATGTACAGATGTTCCTGCAAATAAATGAATTTATGCTCAGACCAGAGACTTAGTTGTGTGGAAATATTCAGTAACTATTGACTGACAAAGTAAACCCACCCAGGAAATTTCTCTTCTGTTGTAAAGCCTTTTCTTGTGGAGCGTGGAGGCTTGAATGCAATGGGCTAGAGTTTGCTTCTTTTTCGTGAGCCAAGGCTGACCAAGCTCAGACCAGCGGGGGACTCTTCTGTTTGAACAATAGTTTGCTTGAGGGCGTTAGATCAGTTCTCATTTAGCAGATCAGAATATCCTGGGGAAACTAGAAGAGGTTTATGAAGTGCTTTTTTTGAAGTGAAAATTTTTCATTGACCGTTCGGATAAATGCTAGGTTCCTCAGGAGACCAAGTTCACTATCAAGAAATAGGACATCAAAACATTTTTCCCCTTTTCCCCAAAAGGCTTTTAAAGACAGATTGCCACGGATCAGAACCCCCTTTCTTTCCCCTGAGTTGAAGGCATCCCTGCCTTACCTATGAACAATGACTCTTGTTAGAGCTTTAATCAACCAGACTTTGGCGTTTGGAATCCCTGGGTGGTACAAAGTGTTAATTCACTTAGCTGCTAACTGAAAGGCTAGAGGTTCGAATCTACACAGAGGCTCCTTGGAAGAAAGTCTTGGCAGTCTACTTCCAAATAATCAGCTATTGAGAACCCTGTGGAGCACAGTTCTGCTCTAACACACCTGGGGTCGCTATGAGTCAGACCAGACGGCATCTGGTTGTTGGCTGGAGTGGTTTAACTTCAGAGGAAAGACTGAGATTCTAGTTCATAAAGGAATCTGGTTTCAAGGAGGAGGAGCCAAAGCAAGAATGAGTTGAAGTCAAGTGGGTGTATAAAACACAGAATGGAAGCCTCTCAGAATCACTTGCTTGGAGGGGTAAATATTTGCAGAGATAATTCAACATACGACAAAAAGGTATTGCTTACACTTAGTGTTTGGGACAGTTTGCTTGGACGCAGATGTGGTTCCTGCCCTATCCTATGAGCAGCCCTGCATTTTGTGGTCACGTTGCCAAGAGGAGCTCCTTCCATAAAAGGAGAAACTAAGGGGCAGCTGGTGATGAGAGACTTGGCTTGTATTTATGCTGTTCTAGATGCTTAGAGTAATGAATACAAACAACTCAATTACTATGCACTGAATTGAATCATTTCTTCTATGCGGAAAATGGAAAGAGATTCGGGAAATGTAAATGCCTCGTAGCCACTCCTCCCCCGCCCGCATCTTTTTAATTGTTCTTGTAGGGAGAGAAGATGA